TGTGCTTCCTGTACGTGGCCTTCTTGCTGTGCTTCCTGTACGTGGCCTTCTTGCTGTGCTTCCTTCACGTGACTTTCTTGCTTCTCCTCCACCTGCGCAGAGGGATCCACCCCCTGACCGACCGGCGAAGCCCTGTCGTCCTCCCCCTCTGGCTGCACATTCAAATCCGGGGTGCCATTCTGATTGATTTTCTTAATTTGTGATGACTTCTCCATTTTGGCTCCGTCATATGGGTAACCCACTCCATCTTTCGCATCGTCCTGTTGGGCATCTGTTTCAATTTTTGTGTGATCCCCGTGGAGATCGTCCCCTTCATCATGAGCAAGTTCTCCGTGAATGGAGGCGTGGCCGCCATCCGTTTGAGCCGAGAGTGGGGAGCTTTCGGGGCTCACTTCATTAACCGAGGGGGTTACTACTCCCAGTAGTGCCCCCCCCTCTAGTTCCTCTTCTTTTTCTTCTTCTTTTTCTTGTTCTTTTTCTTGTTCTTTTTCTTCTTCTTTTTCTTCTTCTTTTTCTTCTGCTTTTTCTTCTTCTTTTTCTTCTTCTTTTTCTTCTTCTTTTTTTTCTTCTTTTTCTTGTTCTTTTTCTTCTTCTTTTTCTTCTTCTTTTTCTTCTGCTTTTTCTTCTTCTTTTTCTTCTTCTTTTTCTTCTTCTTTTTCTTCTTCTTTTTCTTCTTCTTTTTCTTCTTCTTTTTCTTTTTCTTTTCCTTTTTCTTCTTTTTCTTTTTCTTCTTCTCCCTTCTCCTGGTCCTCCTCAATGTTTTGTGCACTTTGCACAAAATCGATTATGTGTTGTTCTAGAGGAGCAGTAGGTTCGAATTTTTCCTGCTGCTGCTCCTGCTGATCCTGTCCCATGTAGAGTTCCTCCACGTGGTGGTAAGAAGGAATCATCTCTAGGTAGGGCGGAGTGGCGTTATGATTGTTTCCAGCACTGACATCGCTACCCGCGGGATACAACAGGTCATGATTGTCCATGTCATCCTGTTTCGTGGGTGGGATGACAAAGCAGTTTCTATCAGAGCTGGTTTGATCGATGAGTGAGTTCTGACTGGGTGTGCTCTTAAAGCTACTGTTACTTAAGTTATCTCTGGTGATTTTTTTCTTTTTCTTAATTTTTTTCACTTTCAAAATTTTAATCATTTTTTCTCCATGCTTCGATTCAAGGTATTTTTTTCTCTGCACAAAGTTTATATCATCCGAGTAGTAGTTCACGAGATATTTAAAGGTGAATAAATTGGGGACCAAATCTTGATTTTCCTTGATGACTTGTTCTTCTACATGTTCTGTTGACTTTTGCAGTTTGTTGAAAAATTCCGAATTTGAGAAGGTCGTGTTTAAGTTAAAATCCTGATTTTTCTTAATCATAGAATCAATTTTTTCTTTATAGATTTTTCTCTTTTTTTTATAAATCAAACTGGTTAAATTTAATATAACCTCTTGAGATATGTTTTCATTTATGGAGGGTAACTTTGGCTGTATTCCTAGCAGCGATTCATGGTACATTTTTTTAATAGAGTTAAGAACTTTCTGTACGTCTTCATCTTTTTCGTAGTTTTTCAATTCATCGTAGAAATCTTCCACGGTTACATCAAATTTGTGTAACACTTCTTTCTCCACGTCTTCAATCCTCTGCTTGTACCCATTGTTCAGTAGCACTTCTTCCAACTTATTCAATTCTATGCTTCTGTTGGGTTCATTTTTTATCATGTCATACACACTTTTGGTTGTCTTGGATGTCTCGTTCAGTACTTTATAGACTTCTAAACACAGGTGTCTCAAAATGAGAAGGATGTTTTCTTTTACTATCTGTTTTTTCTTCCTGAATATTTTTTCCCCTGTTACGTACCACATGACGAGGAACCCCCCGATGAAGAGGGTGATTTCTAGTAGCTTCGTCAGTCCTCTACCCATTTTGGAGAGACCCGCCGGGGGGGGTGGGAGCGTATGGTGCGCTGTACTGAAACGTGTTTATGTCTTTCTTGGCATACCACTTTTGGAGCGTTATTATTGATTATCTCCTCGAGGGTAATGTAGATGGTGGTTGTATATACCCTACCTACCGTGTATACCTTTCGCCCCTTCTTTTCTCTACCTTCACAAGTGTTCCTGTCGAGGTGAGTGACCCACAATGCTGCGTCAGAACGTCCGCTATTACACAGTGAGGTACACTACGCTGCGGAGGCTCCTTGAACCGAACAGAGGCACAACTGGTAAGGAGACTTCACCGCGCCACCGCAGATGCATATAACCTTTCCGCGGGAACTCGTGTTAAAAAAGCTCCCCTTTGAAATTTCCCCCCTTCCGCGCAAAACACCCATCAGGATTTATATCGCCGTAATTTTAGATAGGCCTAAACCAAGGAGAATGCTACGTTTGGTTTCCCACAAAGGGGGGGGGGCAGGGAGAAAAAGTCTCGCATTATTATGCGCAGCGGCAGCGCAAGGTGGTTCTTCCCTTCAAAGCGCTCCGTGTAAGTATATATTCCCTTCAAATGGTAATCTGTACCATGTTTAGCGCCCTTTTTTACAGGCGAAGGGCGCATCTGTGTACCCCGCGCTTCTTCCCAGGGGCGCGTTTCGCCTCCTCGGGAGAGTGAACAGGGTGGCGATGGCGAAACTAGCTCTGTCGTGCCCCTAAGAAGGCTCCTTCCCGTACGTACAAACTTGGGTTGGCAGAATTATGCAGAAAGAGGAAGCCATAGAAAAAAAATAAAAAATATCCACTTGTTATGTACCCATCTGTAGATAACTTTTTGTATGTTTCCTCCTTTTTTTTTTTTTTCTGAGTAGATTCAATGACGTCACTTATCATCTACACGATGTACGTTCTGTACGTGCCGTACGAGCTGTACGTACTCCTCTCCTCCTGATGTGACTTTTTCGGCGAGGAACTTTTCCCCACCTTGCAACAGGCACCGGAAAATACCATACCTACAATTTTTCGCGAACACTTTGTGCATACATAAATCAGTGCAGCCACCGTACACGTCGCGTAAAAATGGTGAACGGACCCGGGGAAGGAGCAACCCAGGGGAGGAGAAAACTAGAACGTGGAAAAAGTCATCATAAAAACGTGCAGGTAAAGGATACACGTCTATGGGGAAAGAAGGGGCAACCCCCCCCTTTTTTTTCTCTCTGCGCCGATCGACGTGATTTGCAAAGAGGTACAGGAAGGTAGGCAAAATAGGAAATTGTACAGGTATCCGTACCGCTTTGGAATTGCCCAGAATGGGAATACGAGCCTTGCTTCCCGAGGGTGACTAAGCAAGCCCTAGTTTCCTCTACCGCCGTTCTTAAAAAGGGGCAGAAAAAATCGCAAAAGAGTGCGATGGAATTTAGTGTACCCACACGAGGAACAGCATATGCCAGAAAGAGGCGATCGGAAAATTTCCCCACTTCTTGCTTTTACCAAAATGGGCGTCATATATGTATAGGAATAAAAATTTCCTGAGAATATCCCCCAAAGGGATCATCAAATGAAGTGATGGAATATTTTAAGTGAAAGGTCTACTCGGGGGGTATGTCCCTGTTTCTGTATTCACATACACAATAGTGTTGCGTGATAGGGAGTGGGGAAGGAATCACGACAAAAAAAAAGAAAAATTAAAAAAAATATAAATACACGTTAATCGCAAAAAAAAAAAAAAGATACATTAGCCATTTATACATTCTTTTGCGTAGGAAAAAAAAATAAAATAACGGGTGCTAAAACAGAACTGCATAATCAAATTCGTTGCGACTGATTATCCCATTTTCCGCATCGGTTGGTTTTTCCGATAGGGCCTTGTCAGGCGGGCGTGTTCTCATCACACGGATGTAATTTTTTATAAGTGTAGGAGGAAATTCCTGCACTTTCCTAAAACGCCTCTTTGTCGAAGTGCCAGATTTTGATTTCCCTTCTGTGGATAGTTACACCGCGAAAGCAGTTCCATCATTTTTCGTTCCACTTGGACAGCCGAGAGGGGGAGGGAACAAATGTGGCGAAACCTCATGTGCATGCTCACGCTTGGTGGGTCCCTCTCTCTCTGTGGCTTTGGCTTATCATATTTGTGCTTGTCGCGCTCCAGTGGGTTCATCTCAACTGGGTCAGTTATAATATAGCTCGAGACTCATCCCGTCTTTAATTTCGTAGTCTTGTAAAGTGATGTGGTCCTTGTAAATGGTGTACCATTTTTGTATTCGTATTTTGTCCGCCCTCGTTCCTGCAGGGGGGTGGTGGTTGTCGAAGGGACAAGCGGTGATTACGTTCTCGGGAGAGAGTCTGCTACACAACACAGTTACGCTAGTGGGAGCGTGCCATGCAACCGATAAGCACTGCACGCGAAGGAAGAAGATCCTACCTGTTTGTGCCGCCACGAGCTTTTTCAGATCCCCGATGGTGTCATCCGGGTTGCACTTGACGCGGATTTTCTTCCCCAGTCGATCGTTCAGTATTATTTCTATCATTTTTTTCTCCCCTCGAAGGTGGTATCTTGGCAGAGTTAGCAACTACGTATGCAGCGGAGTGAGGGGCTATGTATGCTCAGCTCCCGGTACACTAGTTCGACGCGCTTAATGGGGGAAAGCCCTCACCAGTGTCTTCCCCCCCAAGTGAAGCTTGAGAAATCCTCTGCTGTGCCTCCACTCGAATGCAGTTTTTCGCGTTTATCCTCGAGATGTAGTGTCCCTCGTAGGCATAAAAGAGGGCAAAGCGGGATCGGAAAAGTGGAAGCCGCAAAATGGGAGTAATTGGGCTAGAAAAAAAAAAACATACCGATGTAGCGAAAAGAAAAGGGGACCTTCAAGTGGTCTCCCAACCCGTAGGAGGGCAAACGTTAGAGAGTAAATATGCTTATATTCTCACCAAACGGTGGCATAACTGGGGCTTCAGAGGAGTGAATCATTTTTTTTTTTTTTTCTTCTTTCCTGTACGAGCAATTTTTTTACAACAATATTCATAGCAGCCATCCGTGAAGTTGCCTAAACGAGAGAGCGCTGCTTAGCAAGAGGGAACTCCAAAAGGCTATATGTAGGACAATTTCTCTTGCCTTCAAATATCGTTCACGCCTAGGGTTTCATTTTGTTCTCTCATTTGGGACTGGTATTTTTTCCCCATGGCGTATGCTTATTCCGCGTAGGTATGCCCCCGGTCTCGACGATTTTATTTTAACTTAAAAGAAGCGGCCCCTAATCCAAGTGACCCAATTGTACGTTATATGCTTTTACGTACGCGGCATATGTACGTTGCGGGAGGGAAACTGTTTTGGAGGATTGTTACCCCCACTGGGCATTTGACTATGTACAAATGAGAAAAAAAAAAATAATAAATAAAAATAAAAAAGCCCTATAGATACACCAATTGGGACGCCTTCTGAGGAGAAAAACTGGACCTCCGCGTGGCACACAGCTCAGCTAATTTTATTGGAGAATGTATTTCTTTTTTTTTGAGAAGAATTCTCCTCGCGGTGACAAAAAGCGGGGGACACAGATTTCTCGGCCCAGCAAAATGGTGTAGCGACGCGGCGTACATGTACCCCCTCTTCTTAAAAAGGTCGATAACATACATAATTCAGGCAAAATGGGGAAGTTTCATTTCGTTGAAAAAGGTTTGTTCTGAGTCCGACGGGCGAGCGTTCTCTCCATGTGTGTTGTAATGCGCATGGGGGGGGAGGGATGCGTGGTTTCGTCGCACAGGCAAGGAAACGACGAAGTGACGAAGCGACGATGTGAAGAAGCAAAAAAGAGACATGAATGCGAAACGTCGGAGCACGCGCCATTGTGCTGCTGAAATGTAAACTGGGGTGGGCGTCTCGCTGTCCGGCGTTCACAGACGCTCCGCACCCACCTGCCCTGTTCCAGGTGTCCACACGGATGGGAGGGAAGACGCGCAGACGAACATGCATATGCACAGGCGTAGAAAGCGGCGTAGAAAACGGCATAAAAACCCGCGTCTAAACTCACACACATCTGCACGCGAAGAGGGGACGCGTTACGTAAAAATGTAGGGAGTCAGGCCGAGGAAGGAAATGTACAGGGAAAGGAGAGACAGCCCATGGTATATGTGCCAATCTTTCTTGTTCTTCTTAATCTCGGCAATGGCACTTTCGCTCTTGGGGTTCTTAATGAACTCATTATATAAACTCTCCTTCTGTATCTTCAAACTGTGAACCTTATTCTGAAGGTACAGATTATTTAACAAACAAGACAAGGCAACAATGGTGGAGCTGATCCTGAGTTGCATATTGTGGTTTGCCAATCTCACCGTCGACAATAGGAGTATGCCAGAAAAGAGAGTGGAGAAACCAAAAAAAAATTGGAAGTCTTCTCTTCTTCTAGTAGAATCTCCTTCCATATTTTTCATTTCTTCTAATTGTTTTTTTGCCTCTTCTGCATTTTCGGGGATGGGGATGCGTTTCATGTTCTTGATGCTCCTAATCAAACCAACTTCGGAGAAGAAGGACAACCAGAACGTCGACCCGAAGAGGTACCCCCAACTTATGTTTAGCAACGGTCTCAGGACTTGCGGGTTTTTTATGATCACCTTGGGGAAAAGCGAGAGGACAAGGCTGGAGAGGCCTGAGGGGGACGGGGGAAGAGAAAATAATCATAAGGGGTGAAGAAGCGGTGGGGCCTGCGAAGGAACAGCGCCGCAAAGGCATTTCGCTGGTAAGTGCGGCCACTCCGCTGGTACGCGCCTCTTAAAATGGGCTTCAAATCGGGGAAGTTTCTTTAGCCTTTTCGCAATGCAGCTATCAATGCACAGTTTCCCATTTTCATCACGAAATGGAGCCCACATAACGTGCACGTCATGATTGTCTCAACTCCCTTTTTTTTTTTCCATGACGAGTGGGATGGACGGGATGCATATAATACCCTCCCTCTTCCATCCTCTCCCTCTTGCAAAAGTGGCTTCCGAAGGCTGCCACCTCACAGCGATGGCCCAGCCGCTTTCTCGCACCAGTAAAAACTATCCGCTGGCTTATTAATACAAATGCGTTGACCATAGGACGGGGGGGCGCTGCAGGAGTACCACCACCCAATAGCACCGTCTCGAAGGGTACGCGATACGGCTCCCTTTCTCTCTCATTTGCTACCCATCAGGAGGAAACCTATTTCTGTTTGGGTTTTCTAACCTGCTATGCCCGTTACGCATCGGAGGTAGCTCACCGTGGCTCCCATTTTGTACTTCCTTTTGGCTGTAGCGTTTTGGCGGTTAGTGCTGCGTAACAATGGTTAGTGGTACGTAACAACCGTTAGCGTCGGTTTGCAGCAATTCGGTATTCCTCTACCCCTTAGTCGGAATTTCGTGGCCTGTCGTGGGGGGCCTCCTGACAATCTTGTCACAGGTTAGTTCGCCCTAGCGAGGGGTAGCTTAACTGCAAATTGGATTCAACAAAAAGAAAAAAAAAAGCGCTTCCAATTCGTGGAAAATCGTCTTCAAAATTGGCAAAAAAAAAAAAAGAAAAAATAAACAGAGAAGAGAAGAAACTAAGATTGGGGTTCCCCTCAGTGGGTAACAGGCGTAAGAAGTCACATGAAAAAAAAAAAAAATTTAAAACTTCTCAAAAAAAACTTCTCAAAAAAAACTTCTGAAAAAAAAACCTCTCAAAAAAGGCCTCTCAAAAAGGCGCTTCTCCAATTGCAGCATTTTAAGGATACTTCTTCAATGTCACCTGCGAGGGTGCAAAAGAAGAAAAAAAAAATTGCTGCCAAATGGAAATCACTTGAATTTCAAGGAACAAATATAAAGGGATAGCCCACTATGGTAGCGGAACACGTACAAGTGCGCATCGCGTACTTGGTATGTACATATGTCATCAGGTTTTCCATCCTCCGAACGTTCAGCGCTTTCTTATTTTCAGTTATTTTTCCTTTTCCGTCGAAGATTGAATTGAAGCTTTTCTTTTTCTTTCCCCCTCCACAGGAGCTAAGCAAATGTGATATTTTTAGTTTTCTATTTTTTTTATTTCTTTTATTTTTATTCTATTTTTATTCTATTTTTCTTTATTTTATTTTTATTATTTTTTTTTAATTTTACTTCCTTTCTCCCAAAGGTTATTCAACAGATTGGGTAGGAAATTAAGCGCATTGCCTTATATATATGCATAAAAAATGCCTTTGTAAAAATACATATGTTTTCTTTCTCCTCCCCTTTTCCTGGCTTTCATCACTCGGCGGTGCCGCCTCTCCATTCGAGTACCCCCCCTTTTGGTTAAGACAATTGGGGGTGGAGAGCTCGGTTATCGTGAAGATGAAGGCGAAGATACGCGCACGAGTAATCTTCATACGTATGCTTAACAACACCAAGTTGGTTCCTTTTACGTCATGTATATCACGCGTTATAACGTGTTCTTGTTGGGGACCAGCAAGGCAGGTATGTAACCCCGGAAGGAAAAAGGGAAAAAACAAAAAAAAAAGAAAAAAAAAAGAAGAAAAAAAAAAAAAAATCAAACATTTTGCCAATTTTTAAAAGCTACGGCGAGCAAGAAAGCTATACTCGTAAAAACGCACAAATGGAAAACGTTTTTTTTTTTCTTTTCTTTTTGTTATAAATGCGGTGTCCCTCCCGCTGTGTTAGTACGGGACAATTAACAAAATGGGGGGGAACACAGAACAGACAGGCGGTACGCCCCTGATGAGACGACTCCTCGCAGCCCGGGGCGTCTCTCCTCACAGCTTGAAATATTCACGTAACTCCGTGCATGATTTCAAGTCCCAGTCGTAGAGCTTGTCGCAGCCGAAAAATATCACATTGGGCCAGTCTCCGTTGTCCTTCATGCAGTAAAGGTTCTGCGGGGGGGGAAAGAGGCGGGGGAATACAAATAAATGGGTTGCCACGCGTAGGGGAAAGAAAAAAACAGAGGGATAGCGCGCAGATGAATGCAAACGGGAGAGATACCGCGCAGTTGAATGCAAACGGGAGAGGTATCGCGCAGTGGAATGCAAACGGGAGAGGTACCGCTCAGTCTATTGCAACTGTGCGTATGTGTAGGGACGTTTGCCCTCCCTCGCTCGACAGGCTCACCCTCTTAAGGTTCTTCGTGTACACGCAGGGAGGCCCCGCCTCTCCGAAGGCGCCAAAGTCGTAGGCTTTCACGAGGCCATCTTCGGACCCTGCGAGAGTCAAATTTGGGTAATGCGTGCTGACCAGAGAAATGCATGAATTTGAAAAGGCCTTAAACCTAACTATGTTGTTGTGCGAAAAGCTGGAAGATGGATCCGTAACGTAACGTATGTCTATTTTGTTCACATAACCATCAACGTCAGATAGAAAAATTTCCTTCTCATTGAATCTGCTCCAAGTGGTCGACTCGGGGGTACTCTCCAGAGGTATGTTTAACCCAACTGTGTCTTTTCTTATGTCATATATTTTTAGAGTTTTGTCCGATGCGGTTGAGAGGAGGATGCTACTTTCATTCGTGTGGAAGCAAACATTGTTAACTTTCTTTTTGTGAAAGTTGAAGGTATGTAGATAGGTTAGATTGGATAGGTCCCACAATGTAATGGAACAGTCCTTGGACCCGCTGCACATCAAATTGGGTATTAGCTTGGACGAGTTAAGGCACGTGACGCATTCTGTGTGGCCCTGTAGGTTATTTTTGCTCTGTTTCCTTTTTTGCCCCGCCACCCGTTTTTCATACGCTCCACTGGCGGCTTCTTCCGCAGGCGATGTTCCCATTTGTGAAGCTCCCGCTTCTCCTCCCGCGATTGAATCTTCCGCTGCTGTTCCCGCGTTTGAATCTCCTGCTGCTGTTCCTTCCGCTGCTCCTCCCACCCCCTTGCGCCGCTTTTTGCGGGTTCCCCCGTGCGTGGCGCCCTCCCTGCCGCCCAAATAACTGAGGGCCTCCAGCGTGTCGATGTTGTTAATGTCCCACAGCCCAATCTCCTTCTTCATGGTGCCAACGGCTACAATGTTCTTACCCCCGTAGTATGATTCTCCTATCATCTCCAGACATAAGGGGTAATCATCAATAATGACATCGTCGTAAATGTTAAAAATGTCTTCGTCGTAATTAACAATGTGAATTTCTAACGTGCCAATATCACTATATATTTTCCCATTCATGGTTAATGCATCGCCATCTTCTATACTTAGCTCATCTTCGAAAAGGTATTTTTTGTCCTTCTCTATGATGCTGTCTTCGTTTATTACTTTTTCGCTTTCCTTCTCGTCGTTAAAAACATTTTGGAGTGCATCGTAAGAGTCTGCTTCGTCTCTCTGCTTTTTTCGCTTGCGTCTTTCGCATTGGTCGCTGTCGCTTGATAGATCCTGTTCGCTGCATGGGTGGAGAAGTAGGCAAGTGCCGAAGTTATAGATTGCAAAATGGGGTCTCCCCAAGAAAACGACACATAATTGCAGTTACGAGTGCACATGGACGGAATATGCCAATGGCGCAGGAATATAGTAGGTGTAGACAGGCATGTATACTGCCCGCCATGGTCACGGTGTCGTCTCGTCTTACCTGAGTTGCTCAAATTGGCGCCCACCGGGCTTCTTCTTGTCCCTGGGCAGAAAAGCTATGCAGCTCACAATGTCACTTGGCTTCTTCGCAGATTTCTCATTTTTTCCTTTCTTTTTTTTGGGTTTTTTAACGCTTCCTTGGACTACATTCGCCTTCTTGGGCTGTTCTTCGCTCATTTTGGAGAGCTTCAGGGGGTGGCGACTGAGTAGAGACTGAGAATCGACTTGCTACGGACTGAGAAGTGACTTCTTACCGAGTGAGTACTTACGGGGCATCTCCCAGGGTCACGTTTCGCAGAACGTTTTCGCAGCGCTGCTACGCAGGAAGGCACAGATATGTGACACTTGGGAAGGGAGTCTTCTTCTCTCCTGTGGCGCTCCACACAAAGGCAGCATTTCCCTTTGGATATACTCCCACTCTCCCCTACAGTGCGCCACGTACATTTAGAAAAAAATGGAAAATAGGAAAAGTTTGCTGCTCAAAGAAGGTGTCCCATGCGTTACATAAAAACCTTCTCTACAAAATCACATTTTTCGAAGTTTGGCCATTTTGTAGGAGTCATTTCTGAGGATGCTTTTAAAATTTATGATGTTTTTGTGGCGAAACCCTTTTTGCATTTTTTCTTTTTCTTGGCAAAAGGACCCTTTTGGAAAGAACTGTCGGTCGGTAAATTCTTCCGCCCAAAGGGAATCGCCTTAACATTTGCAATAAATTAAAATCGTTGAGTTCCCGTCCAGTGTCGTTTCCCACGTGTTCTTCTATGCCACTTTAACTCTCCATGAAAAAAATGTAGACCCATCCATTCGTTTTATCTTTTCTTTGCAATTTCCACGTTGGAATTTTATTCAGGGGTGACGCGGTTGGCTGGCTTCCCTACTCCCCTCAGCAACGCTTTTTTTTTTTTTCTTTTTCTTTGTTTTTTGCAAACGTTTCGTCATTGACCCGAGTAAAAATTAAAGAACAAACTTTAAAACATTGTTGCGAATGCGCAGAGTGGGTCATTTTTCGGAAAGGGCGTCCATTCATCAGGACCTTCGCGAACTCGTCATTTGTATTCACTCGCCCGAAACCGTTGGCATATATACAACATACGTAAAAGAAGAAATATATGAATGGCTGTACATGTATAATAGTGTAGCTGCTTCTTTTTACATACCTCTCGTGTATATTTGAAGAGTCTTTCCATTTGCGCCATGCGTGGATTTATGTTTATTTTTACTAGCCAAAAAATGAACGTAAGTTAACGCGATTTTCAGTTTCGCCATCTTTCTGTTGACTATACAAGTAGCATGTATTTTTTTTCTTTTTTTTTTCCCCCTCATTACGACATCGTGCGGAACAGAAGAGATGGTGGATCGGTCTCTTACCATTTGACCTTCTCACCCTGGCTGTTGCAGAAGCGGCAGCTTTGGTACGTAGGCATAGCATGCGGGTAGGGCGACATATGAGCCCCCCCATCTGGGGGTACCAGTATCCCTGCCTTTCGCCGTTTCGTTGTAAAGCCGCGCTACTCAGCGGGGTGTTACCCCGTTGAGACAAGTGTCCCTCTGTGTATGGCACCGCTGTTTACGCCTTTTCCCATGCGCCGTTCGATTAACAACTTTTTTTCAATTGCATTTTGCTGCTGTGTTCTCCAGCTTGGCAATGCGGCCATGAGGAGCAGTGTAGCCATGCAGCAAACGCCCTCGTGTCTGTGTTCATCGCTAGGCTGATGCCTGCGTAGGTATGCATTCATGTGTATAGGTATATATGTGCGCTCACATATGTTCCCATTCTTATGTCGCCATGTTGTAATCCCCCCACTGACGTGTGTCCCGACACACATATACCTGTACGCATAACATGGCCACGCCGATTGAGGCCTTCTCGTGTCCCCTCCCCCGAGTTTCTTATTTGTCGATGTTTGTGTAAGTTCCATTTTGCCGCGTGGAACGTGTTAGCATATGCAGAGGACAGCCGCGTACAGAGTACGGGAGATCGCGCTGAGTGGAGGGGTACCTCCGATTGCTCAGCGGAGTTTTGCTGGGGTGCCCCACGACTGACGCGATTCGCCGCGTTGGTTCCATTGCCTCTGTTTCGCCGCGTCCAAGAGCCCAATGGGCATAACTCTGTGGGAACCCTTTTCCCCATTTGCTTGTACGCATAAAATCTCCCCTGCGTAAAAAAATAAAAAAAATATTCTCTCAATCTACATATTTGGCACACCCATCTGTTACTCCCATTTATCACAAATTATTTTTTTCACAAAATTTCCATTCTTGAGAAGTCATACGTACAGGTAAGCGTATATGTAAATGTATATGAAATGAGAAATGTGAAATCTGAATTGTGATTTTTTTTTTTTTTTTATGTACATATTTTTTTTTTTCCCCCCCCCCCTTGCCCTTGTGCAAATTTTAAGCATTTTTTTTAATCTCCCTTTATGTAAATTTTCCCATCTTCCCAAGCAGGGAAAAAAGTGAGGATTTTCGTTTGCCTGTCATTTGGGAGAGTGACGTCTTGCATGTGCCATTGCGTTTATGTGTGAATAACGCGAAGGGAAGGAAGAGAGCAGCGTATTGGAAGCCGCATTGAAGCAGCTCAAGCGTGGCACGGAAACCGCGGGGGGGTAGGTACGCACAAAAGGTGACTGTGCCCCTTCACCAGCTGACTGCCGAGATACAGCAGCTACGTGTTGCGCCGCCTTCGTATCCCCCCATTGTACACGCGAGCAGCCTTTACGCATATACACATAATTACTCTGCATAAACAGAACGAGATGACTTGACACTTGGGTGCATGCATCGTCCAGTCGGAATGCACATATGTGTGTCGGCCGAGCCAACCATTGCCAGGCATTGCCAGCCATTAGCAGGCATCACCAATCATTTCCAACCATTAACGTTGCTTTCCTCCCTATTTGGTGATGCCCGTCGTTTGTACACATCAGAGTTCCTCTCCCCTCCGCACTTCTCACCTGCTCTTCTCAATTGCCATCTACATCTGTGCGAACAGCTGCAAGTGTCTCCCTGCGGATATTCAGCGCATTCGTGAGGAACGCAGCGGTGTGTAGGTTTAGCAACGCATAAAGGAGCCTTCACAAATGCGGAAGGGACTCTCCGAGAAGGGTTCCACGGCAACCAACGCGATGAACGTACCACCGAGTATGTCGGGAATCCCCTCGAAATGGTAGCGCACAGAGGTAGAAGAAGTTTGCAGATTATTTTTACTTCCCGGGGAAGATAAAGAAGAAAAAAAAAAAAACAAAGAGGAACACAGGGAGAGTTTCGCCAGAGGGGGGGAGACTCCTCAAAGGTTCACATTTCTGCTTGTGTGTGGGGCTATCCCACGTGAGTCAAAAAACAAAGGGGGAAGGGATCATTCCGCGCTTACTCACGTTTGTCGAAGATCCATTTGGGGAAAAAAAACGGAGCTTTTGCATCCTCACACACACCCACGAACTGCATAGCGATGTATATGTGTATGCAGATGTGGAGACCCCTCCCCCGAGTAAGCAACTACCCTCAGCTCGCGTAACCACCCTGTCCGTGCATTCGACTAGCCCATCTCCCCCCGAGTGAACAAAATGGACGGATTTGATGAGACAAAAATGAAACAGCTTCAGCTGTTGAAGGAAAAAATGAAGATTGCCAAGGCACAGAAAGTGGAAGAAGTAAAAAAAAATGAAGACGTCTTCTCCCTCTCGCATGACGTAAAAAATGTAAGATCATTTGAGACACAAGATATCCGATTTAATAAAATAGGGAAAAAAATTTTCGATTCTTTTACTCCCAATAAAAAAGCAACACACATTAAGGGGACGAATAGTAGGTACCCCTTTCAGCAAGTGAAAAGCGGAAATCCTAACGTCCCCTTTAAGACAAAGAATGGACTGATCAAATTGCCAAACGAGTCCAATGCGTTTGATACGCCACTAACATTTGAAGAAGTCATGCGAAGAAAAAATGAGAAGAAAAAACGCGAACTGGAAAGAGGTGGACAGAATGGCATGGTAGACATGCTGAATAATGTAAGGCAGTTTAATTTCAGTGACAACCGGGAGGACAAAAGCGAGTCTGGTCTCCTTCAGGGCATGCCTCGCGCCTACCCGGGTAATGCCGATGGTGGCCACGCTGACGAGGAGGGGCAACTACACCAAGCCAATCACGACAGTCACGCGGGAAGCACCGATGTATACGGCCACATGTACAGTAGTAGCCCCTTGAGGCAAATTCACGAAACGAATGTCGTGAGCAACTATGACGATGCAAGTGGACTCCACCAAAGGAAACTGCACGACAAAGCCACCAACAGGGAAGAAGCCTCAAGCGGATACGCAACCGAAAACAATCATTCAATTAATGGGAGCATCTCCAATAACACTAGTCCGTTTGGCATGGACGTAGTGAAGAACAGCCAGTCTCTTTCTCATGGTATGAATTCTTTCACTAATTATTTCGCACACCAGCTGGGGAAAGGTCAGGACGATGCACAAAACGGGGCACAAACCGGTGCAGATTTTAACAGGACTTCCCCTCACGCTGCTAACAATGTGGGAAATCCTCTCAGCGAGAGCTTCCCAGGTACCAGCGGTGGAAGTCGAGTTGGCGGTTTGTTTGGCACTCGTGGAGACCTAACCAATCGTACTGGTAGTAACATTTTTGGCTGCAGTTTAGCTAAGCTAAATCAGTCCATTTTTAACCAAACGGTTAACGTTACGAGGTCAGGTGAAGAGTCAAGTATCAATATGCAGAACGGGAATCATAGCAATATGACTCCCTCTGCTAGCAGTGTCGTCAAGGGGGAAGTCCGGGGGGAGACTGCCCACAGCCTGTTTCAGAGCAGTGGAAATAGCCCTGTCAGAGTAAGTAGCATTTTCGGCACTCATAATGCGCCTATTGGGAGTAACCAACCTGGTACGAATAGCTCTGTTGTGCCCCCATCTCCAAACCAAGGCATCGAAGCGAGTTCCCTATTCGCTCGCAACGATGGAAATAGTAATGGAAACAACACGGGCAGTTTTCTTAATAACTCATTCAGCGGTAATAATTTGAGCAGCACGCGGAACACGCCAGATTTAGCAGGCAAAAGTGGTCTCTTCAACAACACCAGTGATGGCAGCGGGGGTAACGTTTTTGGAAAATCGAGAAGCAACGTTCACCTGTTTAGTGGCAGTGGAGGTATCTTCGGGAAGTCCAACAGTGGCGCCACGAACTTGTTTGGAATTGCCCCTAACGAGAAGAACCCTTTTGGGAGTGCCGCCAACGAGAAGAACCCTTTTGGGAGTGCCGCCAACGGGAAGAATCCACTTGGGAGCGCCACTAACGAGCAGAACCCATTTGGGAGTGCCGCCATCGAGAAGAACCCACTCGAGAAGGCAAATATCGGAAAAGGCATTTTCGGGAACGTTCCAGGTAGCAGCAAACCCTTTGGAAACGCGGCGGGCAGCGACAACCTCTTCGGAGGTCCCCCCAGCGGAAGTAACATTTTTGGCACCCCCGCGAATGCCAGTAGTAACCCTTTTGGAAGGTCGTCCGGAGGAACCAACCTCTTTAACAAAAACGGAGGTGCTAGCAGCACGAGCCAGTTCGGCAACGCGAGAAGCTTCTTTGGGAAGCCCCCCGTGGGTAGAAACATTTTTGGAGCCAGCAGCAGTTTGGTGAACAATGTGAGCAGTTCCTTGAATAGCGACGGCACGCTGTTGGCCGACGCTGCCCGGGGCGCCATGGTTTCCGGTGTCAGCGGCATTGGCAGTGTTAGCGGTGTCGCCAGCGTTGCTGGGCTGCTGAGTGCCAACGCTCAGAGCGCCCCCGACAGTAGGTGCGGCGCCCCTGCCGAGAGCCTCCTGAATACAAGCGGAAAGTTAATAAGTGACGGTCCCAAAGACAGCAGTGTATATTCAGCTCAAAAGGAGAATCCCACCAGGGATGTTGCCGTTCCAAGCAGCACCAACGGTGTGGGTCTTCCAAGCAGCAGCAACAATGTTGGCCTCCCAAGCAGCGAAGCAAGTGGCGTCACCGACCCGTCCCAAGGGTACCTGGGTAGAGTCCCAAATGGGATGCGAAACAACAGTGACGTTAACGCAAGAGTTATGCAGTTTAAGAATACCCTGTCGAATATTAAGAGTAAAACATCTGGAGGTCCCAACGAACCGATGGAACGTAGCAGCGGGGACAGTGAAGCTCAAGTGGCTCAAAAAGGTGTGGCAGATCTCCCCGATACGAGTGAAAACCCCCCTGGAGGGGATCCACTTGGGGTGGAAAAAAATGACGCACATAAACAATCAGAATCATTGCAGTATCAGAATGAGGACAAAACAAGAGATAGTAATAATAATAATGACGTGGCTGCGCAGCCAAGATGTGATAGACAGAGTGAAGAATCAGCCAAAGCATGTCCAGACAATGACAAGGGAGAGGGCACCAACATTCGAAGGACTTTCTCGAGCTATTTTAACACGTTCATTCCGTCGATATTTTCAAGCCCTAATAAACAAGCCGTAAAAGAGGAGTACCCCAAAGGGGACGCTTCAAATGTGGAGGTGAAGACAGGCAATGTGGAGGTGGAGACAGGAAACGTGGAGGTGGAGACAGGAAGCATGGAGGTGGAGACAGGCAACCTCGAGGTGAACAAAAACGTCCATGTTAGTCCACTTGGTAAGGATGTATCGGAGGGGGACAAACCGGATACAAATCCTCTATGCAGTGACAAGGAGGGAAAAACGAAGACATTCTTTAGGGCCCCCCCATTGAGGGACCCACCGAATGGAACTCTCCCTTCAGAAACGGATGGTGGCAACACGGTGACAAACAGTCGTGACAGTGTCTTACTAAATGGTGAAAAAATAAATGAACCTCTACATTTCGATCCGTTTGTAGATTCTGACAATCCGAATTGTAGCAACCACGAGGCGCCGTCGTTTAGCAGCCAAAATGAGACACAGATCCGCTCCATAGGAGAGCCCCCGCATGAGCAGATTCACAACACGAAGACGGGCGAAGTGCTAAATCTCCCATTTGACGTTAGTCAAAACGGTGCAGTGAACCCTCTCAGTGATGAGAATAACAAAACGGGGAGTCTATTCAATCACGCGGGTAGTGTTCCAACTAGTGCGGCCCACCCAGGGGTGGAAGGCAAAATGGATCCTACGGCGGGGATCATTCCCTTCTCAAACGTAAATGCTGGACGCACTGCAGATGAGGTTGGGACGATTCCCAATACGGTGACCCCCGCTTTGGACGAGAAATCGGGTAAGAGATTCCTCGTGGGTAGTGCGTTGCACAATGTTAATAGCCAACACAACAGCGGTAGTGCCACGTCTGCTGTCTTCAGTAGGGATGCTCAACCCCGGGGCATCTTTCAGAAGGACCCAAGTCACAACCACCTGATCGAAGTAGACAATGCAGACAGCTTAGAAAATAAAGAGCACCTCGAAAAAATGAACCAAATATATAAAAACATAAATTGCATAAACAAAAACATAAGCTATATTAATAAGTACGTCCCGTCCACCATTGAAGATGTGGACAATTATCTGCAGGGGGGTATAACCTCGGTGCAGAATTACGACGCCTTGTCTAGTGCAAATCGAACGTGTCTAGAAAAAATGAATGCACCTGGTAGTTCCGCACAGTCAAATAAGGAATTAAAAAATATGATAAACGTTTTGAATAAGCAAATGGGTAAAGGGGGTGGACCCTCTGGGGGGGGAGACAACAGGGGGGTGGTAGCACTTGGGCCGGTGAAGGGGACGCTGTTTTGTAACCCCTTTAATAGAGCTAGCCAGGTGGATATGACACATAACACGAAAGCAGGAGTGATGCCTAGCGCGCCAGACGGAGGGTCTTCCAGATGCTACCCCATTTTTAATGCCACAGGGAAACAAGCCCCCCCTGGTGGCAATCTTGTAAACACGAATATGCTCACACCCCGAGAAAAATTAAAATTAATAAATGAGACTTCCAAAGAAATTGCAACGAATGAAGAATCTGATGTGGACGAGAAAATACCTGAACATGTTCAGAAAATTATGGAAAGAAGAGAATATTTTAAAACAAAAAATAAGTTAACAAACAGTGACTCAAAGAAAAGCATCATCGGAATGAAAAAAATCAAACCATTTGTCCCATCCGAGTGTAGTGAATCTTTTAGAAACACCTTTTACACTAATGAAAATAGCAAAAATAAGAATAATGTTTTTTCATTACAAAATTTAAGCAGTATGAATATTTTGAGCCCCAACCAAGGGAGTAGTAGCGCTGCTGCGAGTGGCAACATTATGGGCATCGTGGAGAGGGGACTGAATAACAATGCCTTTGCTCCCCTTGGAGGTGAGGCTCCTCCTATGATGAATAGTGTTGATCATTTTAAGATAGCGGACCATTCAAACAACGGTGCTGCCGCTATAGGCACTTCTTACCCGACGGTGGATGACCGCAGTGCCATTTTTAAGGACTACCCAGTGGAGGAGCAGAGCAGAAGCGAAACGCACACACATAGTAGCAGTGCGAATTTTTTTATATATAAAAATATGCCACCTTCGTCGAGTAACACCATGATGAATTGCGCTTTTTCGAGTGAAAATGCACAGGATGGTTATAACCCCTTGGTGCCGACCAGAAATTGTAGCAGTGCAATTAATTCAGGCGAGTTAATCGGTAGGGTGAATGGCAGTGGCCGAGGAGGCGAGACCAAACCATCAGGAGAATCTCTCATGAAGATGGAAGAAGAGCTAAACAGACAAACCGATTTTATTTCGAACATCTACACACGTTTAGGGAAAAACAATTTTATTTACGACAACCGCGAGGGGATAGACTCGACGGCTGATGAGCAGAGAGGTGACCTTAGGGACGATGGAGTGGACCCCGCGGTTACCAACACGGATGACACCCCATTAAGGAAGAGAAGCCTGGACAGCATCAGTCGCGTCCACCACGAGAACGATGACGTACGTGACGATGAATGCAACCCGTTCGATAACGTCGATAACGTGGATAACGTCGAGAACGCAGATGACGACGATCCCACGTGCTCACACAAGAAAAAAAGGAAATTCACTCCCAATGAAATCAACTCAGAAATGCTTCAAAAGGAAAACAGATGCATTGACATATCCAACTGTGTTAAAGAGATTAGGGACTCCATGACGTTGGAGGATATTTCGGCCAACTTGAGCAAATACACCCTGGAAAGCGAACGGATTTTGTGCGATATAATTAACGACACTTTTAAAATGTCTCTGAAGATTTCTTCGCTGAGCGATTTACCCTTTCTGTTCGAGGACTCCCCCTGACGCGGTGTAGCGGTGCAGCGACGCTCGTTTCGTCCGCGCATCAGGCCGCCCCGCGTGTCTCCATTTTGTCGGCAAGCCAAGCGGCAGGGGCAGGAAGGAAAAGGGGAAAAAAGAATGGCCGATTTGCTCAGCTACAGAATTTTCTTGAGAGGAACTTGCCCCCATTGCGGACACAAATTCGTCCCCCCTCAGGAACGCACACTTGTCCTACTCACATGTGCAACGTTTTTATTTCCCTGTTGCTTTGTTTGAAAGAATGCACACATGTCGATATGCTTATTTTTTTCTTCTCTTTTTTCCTTTTTCTTCATTTTTTTTCTCCCTTTTTAACTGTTAAATGTACGAGTAAATCGGCATGGCACTCATATTGTTTGTTTGAACATTTCATTTTGAATAACCTCGTCTCATGTGCGACCACTCGCCCGCATCGCTCTATCTAGGCGACTGCACAACGCGATGACATTGTACAACCATGTGGTACCGCTCCTTTATGCGCGTGCCCAGTTTAACCTTGATTTAGACGAATTAAAACGAATGCTTAACAGTGTAGCTGGTTAAATCAGTCTATGGAAGAGAGCATCCGCCTATTTGTAACCAGCCCACGGCGAACTTGTACGTATGAAGTACCTTCCAACGATTTAATTTTAAAAAATGAATGGCTAGCTGCGAACATTTTTTGCGATGAATGTTATGATCCATCAGAATATTTTCACCTTTTTGTGAACTTTTTTTTTTTTTCTCTCTCTCTCTGGCTAGCTAAAAAAGGATATGGCTCGAAAATTTAACATGTGACACGCATATCTGTGTCTACACCTGGAATATTCATATAGATAAATCCTTCCTTTCTTTTTCAAAATTAATCTTGTAAAAGGAATTTCGATACTATAGAAAAAAACTTGAAACAAAACATGGCAACAATCAGACATGAACATGAAGACACGAATGGTGGGCACTCAGTTACCTTCACAGAAGTGTTTTAAAATGTAGGAATTAAAAAGGATGAAAAAAAAAAAAAAAAAGATGAAGGGAAAGGGCAGATTTAAAAGTATAATCATTCCTCTGCGAAAAAGTTTAATTGTAATCACTCCTCTGGGCAAATTTAAAGTATAATCGCTCCCCCGCGCCCCGTTAAGACACTTCCATTTTGTGAAACACGCGCAATGCTACATTTCACGCTTTATTTGGCACATCCTGTCATGCAGGTTAAACGACTCCACTCACGTGTGAGAGCACAATTGTTCACAAACGTTTCGTGATGCGCACTGTTCTGCTGGAACACTGCGCAGTTCTTGCAAAACGGGGTCCTTCCCATAAAAAAGTGTGCGGACGATTGACTCACTGACCTTTTCCCATCGATGCACTAACTTCCAGGCTGCCCGCTAAAAGTTGATCGGCACAAACAACCCGTCATGCGCCAGGGAAAAGGAAATGTCTGGATATTTATTTGATAATTTCTTCAAAAATAAGTTAGTGATATTATGTTCTACAGCGCAGGACATTCCAATAAAGTACACTTTCTTCGGCTTGATATGCAGAGCAATTTTTATACTTTCGTGCAAGGAAAAATGTGAATAATGTTTTGCCTTATAATAAAGGGCGTCTATGACTAACACTTCCGTGGAGCCTATCTTCTTTATGTACTCCAGTACATTCGGTGGTATATAGCAACAGTCCGAAATGTAAACCAACTTTTCATTCTCTCCTATGATATACCCAACGCATATGTAGTTACGTCCATGTTGGAATGGAATAAATCGGATGCGTTTGTTTTTGTCAAATTTGGTGTATACATAACCGTATTCATCCTTTTTGTTGTACGTATGTATATTTACACAAGTCCCATCATCATCGTCCGCGTCGGCCTCAGCGTCCACGTCAGCGTCGTTGTTCAGGAGGGGGTCTCCCTTCGGGTGCTCCTTTTCCTTTCCCTTGCTGTTCCTCCCCTCATCATCATCGTACCCCCCCTTGTTTTTAATTTTGTTCCTATCATCTATTTGGTTCTTCTGTGTACTATTTGTGGTACCTATATGGTCCTGCTTTGGTATCAGAAGTGTCCCATCATCATCCTTTATCTGATTAGCCGTTTTTTCTTCAAGGATTAATTTGTTATATTTTTCATCCTTGATAACTAACAGGTTAAGTGCTGCTATTTTGGAAAAGAAAATGTTTTCCTTTCTCTTCATGACGAGGTATTCATAACCATTTCGAAGCCGCTCATATGAAATTGCATTCAGGTAAATGTCAATTGGGTTCTTCGGGGTGTAGTAGTAGCTGTCTCCATTGTATATTTTGTTGTACTCTTGTAGGTCTCTCAGGTCATCGATTCCGTTCAGCGCGTCTGTGTGGCTGTGGCTTATCAGCACCGAGTCTAGCTTGATTTCCTGCGGGGTGCGGAATAATCGGGGCGGAATAATCGGGGCGGAATAATAGGGGAGAAACAATCGGGGTAACAAAATGCAGGTTTCATAGTGGGGGCCGCAAAATGGGCGGATGACGCCAAGTGACAGACAACGCTCCCTCCCGCGTGCACTTACATAGAAGTTAATTTTGTCCTTGTTCCGCAACAGGCTGTCCCTGAAGGTTTTACCGACGTCAATTAAGACATACGAGTCATTTGACTTCACCAACACGGAGATGTTATTTCTTTTATTCTTCGAGTTACCATCCAGTGCATCGTAGCAAGTGTAACATTTTAAATCATGGCAATCCGGGTACCTTCTTCTTAGATATAAATCGTTCAGCTGGTCAATACATTCTATATCATGTGAAACCAACTCGTCTACAAATTTGTCTATATGATTAATGTCTTCCTGCCTCAGTTCCGAGCTCTGGGGTTCCCCCTTATTTTGGTTTGACAGAATTTTGGAATTTTTGAAAATGTGGGATAGTTTGGGCGTGGACGATGAAGAACCTGTACCTGCGCGGGGGGGAGAAGTGATAAAAAGTGATAAGAAGTAATCAGAAGTGATCGTAAGTGATAAGAAGTAATCAGAAGTGATCGTAAGTGATAAGAAGTAATCAGAAGTGATCGCAAGTGATATGAAGTATCGCGGGGGGGCTGACAGACGTTGGATGAGAGAAAGAACGCTTTCGGGGTATTGATATGCCCTTCTCCTATCACCCTTCACTCTTCACGCGGCGCGGGGCGCAGGACTCCCTCCCACTCATTTGGTAAGAGGATCGCAACGTGAAGTGGCTTTCAGGTGTGGTATACGCATTGTAGGTGTGTTTTCTCAAAGTGTGTTCCCTTCTTTCTTCCTTATATTTTCCTTTTTTTCTCATTTTTCTATCATTTCAACGTTGGTCGCGCTGCTTTCTTCGTCCAGTACCTAAAAATATGATACCGTTCCCAGTTATCATACTTAATGTGAATTTGGTATGTCTCTGCGGGGGGGTATTTTGTTGGGTTGGTTTAATTCACGTTATTTCACTTTATTTTGCTTTGCTCTGCTTCGTTTTATTTCACTGTGATTTTCTTCACTTTTCTTTTCCTTTCAAAGAGCGGGGATCACTTTAATTCTAGTAATTCCCAGCGAGGAGTTTTACTGACGGGGTGAAGTTTCATTTGGTCACTTTCAACTGTTGCGTACTTTTGTTAAAAGGGGTGTTTGTTCGATGGAGTGGAGTGTAGAAATGGGGAGAAAACTGACGAGGTTTAGTCACGGAGGGGAGTAACACTATTCATCAGGGAGGAGCAGAAAATACGGCAAGCATCGGCGTTAAATTGCGACGGGTTGAAGAGCTACGGGTTGAAGTACTACGCATTAATGTGCTACGGGCTAACGTGCCAGAACGCGGAACAAAAAAAAAGTACACTCCATTTGTGCCTTTTTTTCTCATCGCATTTTTCATACGCTTTCGGGGGAAAAAAAGGATAAATAAAAAAAAAAAAAAACGAAACGGAGAAAAAAAAGTGAGGGTGACAATTTTAGCTATCAAAAAAAAACATTGTGACTTGGTCGGGTAAAATTAACATTTTTGAGAAAAAAAAAAAAAAAAAAAATGTATTTTTTGCTAGTATTACTTATAAGTGAAAAATTCACAAGCCGATGGGCTTATAAACGTACAAAGTGATAAATTTTCTCGTCAAAGGATGGGACAAAAAAAAAGAAAACCCAGCGTCATACGTGTATTATCTTAAACGCGACAGATGTGTATAAAGGAGGAAAAAAAAAATAAATAAAAAAACATAGGCTCTCTCCCACTAGGCACTTGGTTGAATATTTTTCATGAAAACTGGGCGATGGCGCGGTTCATACACACACACGTCTGATTATGTGGAAATGTCTTCTTCGTTTTTTTTTTTAACCATTTATTTGTAGTCGCGCGGAGTGACAAACGAATGGTATGCTGGCAGTTTTTTCCTTTTTCTTAGCAGAGGGGAGGCACTACTCTGGCGTCCTTGCGCGTGCGTCCAGGGTGTGCTAATCCAGGCACTCCGCCGCAAACCACGTCGCGAGCTTCGCCGCTGATCTGCTAAACGGTTAATCGGTTAATCGGCTAATCCTCTGCCACACACATGGCGCACGAGGAGGACGCAGAGCGGTCGCTGACGACCAAGTACATCCTCATGACCGAGCGGCTAAAAGGCAACCAACTGGAGGGCAAAAAATTGAAGTTGAAGGTCTGCGCCCCGGGGACGAAGGAGCCCATCGACTCAATCGACCCAAATGCCCCAAGTGACCCAAGCGACCCAATCGACCATGACGTGATAGAACACTTTTGCGACGCTTTAAAAAGGAACACGTCCTTTAATGGCTACCTCGATATATCTTATAACGACTTAAATGAAACCTGCCTTTTTCACATCCTATGTACTGTGTATGAATGCAAAAATATAACTGGCTTGAATTTAAGAGGAAATAAAATTACCAGTATGCTTTTTAACAAAATTTTACTGATTCTTGAAAGTAACAATTTCGAATATATCAATGTGCAAAGGACGGAGCTAAATAATCAGCAAATTAAAAATATCATTTTCTGTTCACTAAACAAGAGGGTGAAATTTATTAAACTCCCCTTTTTAAACCTCGACACGTTTCAGTTTCTGGTGGAATACTTAAGCGACAACGAGTCGGTGGAGAAGTTACATTTCTTTATGTCGTACCACCACCAAATGAATTCCTTCCTCACAGAGGATGATGAAAACATAACGAACAATTTTGAAAATTACGTCCACGTATAGATATAGGCAGACCCACTAAGTGTACTTAGTTTTATTATATATAGGCTATATACATGGATGGGCTGTATACATTGATGGGCTGTATACTTTGATGGGCCCCTTCCATCTGTGGCATCAGCGCGAGTGGCAAAAAAAAAAAATTTTACCTTCTCCCCAGCACACCACGCCGCATTCCGTACCATGTTTGTTCCACCCCCTTTTTCTCGCCTCTCCACAGAACTTAAAAAACGCCCTAAAAGAATTTCTCGACGTGATAGAGAACAAAGAAAACGTGATGGACGTCAAGTGCGAAATCGACTTCCACGATGAGGAAGTAGACGAATTGGTGTGTTTCATCCATGCTGCTTGCGAGAGGCATCGACGGATGGCAGGGGACGGGCCAGGGCTGCGCGAAAATAGGATGCACATCAGTTCGACGGAGAAGATGCTCTTGCTCATGCCGGACATCGACGGGTGCGGCGGATACGAGAAGGCGCCTCAGCGGTTGCACACCGAAATATATGCTTCTTTGTGTGTGTATATACACATATAGCACCTGTGCGGACAAACGACCCATGCCACCCTGCTCCGCACACATCGAACACATCGAACATATCGAACATATCGAACACATCAAACAAATCGAACCCAATTTGAATCCCTTTTCCCAAGGAGGAACAAGCATATCGAAAAATTCGAGAAGGAAGTACCGCTCACTTTCGACAAAGACGTAATAAGGTTTCTCCAAAAGATGTTGCCTTAGGGAGTTTTTTAAAAAAAAGAGTAAATTGGAATGACTAGTACAGGGAAGTCCGGTTCAAAAATTAATCACAAAAATGTATGTAACTGGGGGTGAGCGGTTGGCCTGAAGTGTCCCGCAACGTCTTCGAAGCCACGTAGTAGCCACACCGCTGCCACATGGTAACCCCCTTCTTGACCTCTTCAACACTTAGCCACTTCGCAGCCGCTTCCCCCCCGGTAAGGCCTCCGACTCATTTGGCCGCTTCACACCGCCGGGCTGCGCCCCGTCCTGCAAAATGCTCGTAAGTCTTTTGTGAAAATCGTTAATGTTAATTTGTATGTTTTGGCTATCTATGCGTTCATCCAGGAGAGTACGAAATTTCTGAACTTCTGCCATGTGTGTGTGTGCCAGCTGGTCCTTAAAAAGGAGTAAGTTATGATCCCCTTGCATGTACGTAATGCCCTTTATCTTTTTTAGTAATCCCAACAAATTCAGCGTCACCTTCTTATTAAATAAGTAGACATTGTTGCTCATCAATATGTTGTTAAGGTATAGGCAAATGTGATGAACGAGGTGGGACAATTCATTTAAACTAAACGTGTTTAGCAAACTTTTTTCATTCGTCCTACCTTGACGTAGTAAGTTGGAAATATAATTATTGCAGATATCATCAGGCATAATTTTGTTCACTTTTTTTTTATTGCAATCTTTGAAAATGGCCATAATCTGTCTTGAAATAAATTCCCTTTCCTCTAATTGGATAACTTGCGTTTTTACCTGACTGTTCAGGTAAAAAGTAACATCAAAATTGGATGCAAATTTTTTAATTATCTTTGCAAAATGCTTCTTGTACATTCCGTTAAAAAGCTCGCTGATATTTAAGTACCGTACAAAGGCGCTTTTGAAGAATAGGCTTAAGTATCTTGAATAGCAGTTTCTCAATTGGGGAAAGAAGAAAATGATTTTTAAAAACTCGAGTAAGTAATTAATCACTATGTGGCTTTTACGGGTTACTCTACTTTCTATCATATTATAATGCTCTAAACATTTCATCATAATTTTTAACAGCTCTGTGTTTTTTGTTTCCTTTACTATTATCTTCACAATTTTTACGACGCCGTTTTTGACGAGTTCGATAAATCTGTTTTTGTCTTGCGCTACAATTTCTTTCTTCACTTTGAAGCTCATGATGATGTGCTTGATTTGTTTGTCCAGGGTGCGCAGGTCCGCTGCGTACATGGCGGGGCGCGATTGGGGGGGGGCCGCGCTGTTCCCGCTGGGCTGGGCTTCGCCAGCGGTTTCATCGGCGGCTTCTTCAGAGGCTTCTTCAGAGGCTTCTTCAGAGTCTTCCTCCGGGGCTTCTCCAACGGCTTGGTCATCCTCTTCATCGGTGCCGTCTTCATCGCTGCCGTCTTCACCGCTGCCTTCGTCGCTCCCTTCGCCGCTACCCTCAACGATCCCCCCGTCGACGCCAAAGTGCTCCCCCAAGCGCACAATCATTTTCACCTTGCGCGAGATAACCGCCAGGGATAGAGCCACGTAGCACAACGTCCTCACGGTGTCCTCGGCACTCTGGTCCTTCAAGTTGCCCTTCAGGTGCTTCAGCAGATACGTGACGTCGTAAAACAGATCTGTGCGTTCTTTTTTCTCTTCTAGGTCTCCGCTCTTCTGCTTCTTTTTTTTCTCCTCCTTTTTGGGATCCTTTGTCAGTATGTCCAGCAGGAAGTTGTTCGTCACGACGATGTCGCTTTGGCCGTCTCGCTCCTCCTCTGGGTCCTCCGTTCGGTCGTCCGTTTGGCCGTCGGTTTGGGCATCCGTTTGGCTGTCCGTCTGGTGATCCGTTTGGCCATCCGTTTGGCTGTCCGTCTGGTGATCCGTTTGGCCATCCGTTTGGCCGTCCGTCTGGTGTTCCGTCTGCCCGTCCGTCTGATGTTCCGTTTTCCCGTCCGTTTGGTAGCCCTTTCTATCACCATCTTCTTCATTTTCTACGCCATTGTTCGCCGCTCCCTCCTCGATCACCTGCCTCGGGGACAACTCCTTCAACAGCCTGTGCATGCGCCTCGAAAATTTCAAGCCCTTCCTCCTGTTCGCGGGCAGGAAGCTGTGCGTCGCGAAAAGTAAAAACTCATTTTTGTACGCACTGCAGCTGAGAAGCTTGCTTAGGGGCACGTAGTTCTTCGAGAAAACAACCATCTGTTTTTTTAACTCGTCCGAAAGGGGTCCTTGCAAGTCGTGGGCATTTGCCAGTTTGACCAAAGCGTTCGCGTCCAGGAAAATCTTTCGATACCTTTTCTGGAGCTTCTTCCTATTCACCCTGGAGTCACTGTTTCTTTTTTGCATCGCACTGCTTAACGTATGAGTCATGTGAAATATCAGAAGGTTAAAAAGAAAAATGACAGCTTTGGATAGTTCCACCGTCTGAACGTTACAATGTCGTCGTTTCTGCCTCTCCTCAGCGGTGTTTTTTTTTCCCTTCTTCATGATCGAAACGCAGAATTTAATAATTTTTTTCACAACTAGGAAGTTTTTTCTTTTGACACATCTTTTGTCAAACGTTGGTTCAAACTGTAGGTACACTTCCCTTTCCGTTGTCTTTATCTTCTTCTTCTTATTCTTAACATTCTCGTAATAATTTTGTGTGCACAAAATGTGCTGCCTTTTTCCGTTACAACAGAGTATGCATTTTTTACCTGACTTAGTCAGGTGAATTATGGCCAAAAATTGGTTGACAAAATTGTATGTGCATTTTAGTAAAACTTCAAGGGATCGCAAATTCTTCAGGTACATTTTGGTTTTATCCTTCTTCTTATTTTGCAATGAGATGATCGATTTTAATGTGTTGAAGCTTTCCTTGGTTAGCTGATTTACGGCGATGTTAATTATGTTCATGTCGAACTGGAGGTTCTTCTTCTGAGCGCTGTCGGTGATGTCCACAAAATCGATGCTCTTTAAAATGGTGAATGTGTTTTCTTCCTTCTTCTCCGCAGCGGCCTTTAGTTCCTTGGTTCCCAGGGCGAACTCGTTCATGTTGAGCATTTTCAGCTTTTTGTTTTGTTTGGCGAAGAGGAAGGCCAGTTGGCTGGCTTCCCCCGCGTGCAGGTTGCCAGTATGGACTTCGTCGTGAAGCGGTTCGTCGTGAAGCGGTTCGTCGTTGTTTTCTTGGCCGTTGTTCTCCTGGTCGTTGTTCTCCTGGCCGCTCTTCTCCATACCGCTCTTCTCCTCTCCACCCAGCGATAGGGCGTACCTCAGCACATTGCGAAGGATAATCTTCTGCAGAAGCAGCAGGACATTCATCCGGTGGTACTTGGTGCCCGTGTCGTGGGCCAGCAAATAGTGCAAATTCTTGTAATTCAAATCCCTGTTGTTAGCAAACTTGTACAACTCATTCATAAAAAAGAGATTCAATATATTCGCATCAATGTTGAGGTAAAGGCACAGTTTATCTTTGAGTAAATTCAAGAAGGCGCTGCTGTAGAGGATGTTGGAGAGTTCTGTGGTGGGAATTTTCTGTGCAGAAAGAATGCCCCCCCTGTTGGGAATGCTCTTGCCGCACTGAATGGTCTTTCCCCTCTCAATCATCTTGCCCCTCTGAATGTTCTTTCCACCTTGTTTGTTACTCGCACCAGAAGCCTCCATAATGATCTCGCCAATGCGGAAAGACTTGTAAAAAACAATGTCGTGTAGGACGGGGGAGAAGTCATACAATCTGATAAATCTCATCGTCAGCATATACAGGAAGGAGAAAACGACGAAGCAGGAGTAGTCCTGCTCAGTTACGCTCCTATAGGTTAACTGCACCAGTTCGTGTTTGTTCATGTGTCCCTTCTTCTTGGCTACCCACTCGGCGATGGAGTTGGCATGGCGGTGATGATTCGTGGTATGTGGGTCTGCCTTATTCTGATCTGCATTATGCGGATGAGCGTCTTTCCCGTCTTTCCCGTCTTGCCAGTCTTGCCCGTCTTGCCCGTCTTGCCCGTCCCGCGTCTGCCCTTCCTTGAGGGCATAATTATGCCTGTGTGCCCACTTCTCCTTCCGCTGCTTCTCCCTTTTGGACACGAAATGATTGTTGAACCTACCCGAGGAGAGGTTACAAAACACGGCAAGCTTCACCTTGGAGAGACTAAACGCAGGCTCTTCCCTCAGCTTAAACATGGCGTCAAACACTTTACGGTACGTGGAAAAGACATCCTTATATTTCTTAAACAATGGAGAGTTATTCTTTGCGCTCTCTGGGAATACGTCCATAATGTCGTTGTGGTTAGAATGGAGGAGGTTTATTAAGTAGATAACGGATAAACAAAAAGTGTTCATAACGTGCTTCTTATTTTTCTTGTTGCTTATAACGGTGAAGCACAAATGCAAGACATTTTTATAGTCTCTCAAAACGTGAGAGTATAGATCCAAGATTGTGCTCAATTGAACAGAATCATTTAGTAACCCTCCGGTGGTACTAGGGTTCAGATGCAAACAAGTAATGATCTTCAATTTGTACATAAAGTAAACATAAAATAAAAGCCCGTAATACTTCTTCACAGTAAACTTTGTGTTCATTTCGTTCCCTTTTATCTGAAACAGATCTGTTACCCTTTTGCAGACATTTTTTAGAAAAAAGGGAACCAACCCATTTCGTACGTAAAGGAATAGGTTAAATGATGTGTCGATAAGAAGGGGGAAATTAGGAAAATTCGTCACTACGTTGCCCACCACTTGGCTCAACGTCAAAATGTACTTCTTACTCATCATGCTGTTCTTGACCGTCTGGTAAAAATAGTGTTCCTCCTGCTGCAAATTTTTGCTGTCTTCTCTCTTTAGCACTTCCAGATAGATGAGGATGTTGCTACTAAGCAGGAAGGGCATCATTCGAAAGGGACTCCTCCTCTCCCCCTTGCCACCACCGCTCACATCATCAGCATTGTCAGAGGTGGCGACGCCCATGCTAGTTACCTTCCTCACCACCTTGTAGCATTTCTTCACATTCACTCTGCGCATGTATTTAAACAAGTAGAAGAGAAAATCACAGAGCACCTCCAGGTAGCCATTTTCCTTCTCAAAGGGTAGTAAAATTTTAAAGATCTTCCTCAAATTGTTGAACAGAATTTTTTTTTTTTTCTCCTCCAAGTTAGAAATGTCTATTTTTAAAATGTCTCTTTCTAGGTCTTCATAAATGATGTTCGCTAAAAATTCGAATAACTCCTTCGTTTGCTCCTCCCTTTTTTTGTTCTTCTCGGTCAGGATGCTTTTCATGTGCTTTATGCACTCCTTGTCCGCCTTCCTGCTGCTGCAGTTGGCCAGCACGTCGCCCAGGCTGCTGGAGAGCTTCATGGTGCGCGGGGGGAGGTAAGTGAGGATGTTACGTGTAGGTGGAAGGTGAAGATGTCACGCGTAGATGTCCTGAGCAGACCACACGCCTAGCGGACACGCGTATATACTCTGTGGGGTCCGCGGCACGCTACCCCCTGCTGCAATTTCTCCGTGCAGAACGTTCTACCCAGTGGGATACACAACAGTTCGTTTGAAAAGAAGAAAACTGTAAAGTGGAATCTTAATTTGTTAAGCGGGAGGGGCGAAGCAGCCCCAACAAAATCCGCCTTTCAGAAAAGTGGAAAACTTTTTCAACCAGCGGTGAGTGGCCAACCTACAAAGGAAAAATAAATGTTGGGCAAAAAAAAAAAAAAAGAGAGTTAACTCTGAAAAAATTGAAAAATGGGAAAAAAGGGAAAAAACGAAGAAAAGCACTCTTAAAAAAAAAGGAGAGAGCTTCTCTGGAAAAAAAAAATAATTAAAGAGGAGGCTGCAGAAAAGGTAGAGTGGAAAAGTCAAACCGCGGCAGGAGCCAACATGCACTTATTTATGTTACATGCATATGTGGGGGGCGGCCAAAGACTGCCCCGACGACGTTGCGCGGAGTAACGTCGCCCAGCCCGCGCTGCCTGAAAAAAGGTAGCCAACCGAGCGAGAGAACCCCGAACAAGAGGTCGGATAAAATCAGCCGCACTAGCGATCCACATAGAGGAATCTTCTCAAACGACTGGCAGAAGCCGCCGCTGAAACGATTGGCAAGAATAGCCACCTGATGACGCCTTCCCTGCCGAAAACACACCCCCTGCACGAGGAAGAGATTATTATGCCCGCCCGCACCCTAGTCGCCTTTTATGCATGCCCTGCACTCATCGTCGCGTAAAGGCGAGTTTGTTTTTCCCCCCCCGTGGATGCTTTTCCACCGTGTCCGTATGGGACAGATGAGCGCAAAAAGATTTTTTTGTATGCGTGTATGTAGGATGCACTAATCTGCCCATAAGGGTATGAATGACTGAATTGGACTCATTTGGAAAAAAAAGGGAAAGAAAAAAAGGGAATTAAAATAGAGGGAACACAACTTGTCATCGAGCAGACTGGCCGAAAAGAGGTGTACCTTAGCAGCGTGTATTATCACGGTCAGTTCGTTGGTGGAAGGTCTGGCGAAAGTTATGCGGCTCCTTTCTCTCCCCCTGTGCCCATAAAATGAACAATTATGCCAAAGTTTCCCCTCAAAAGAAAGAAACCCAGTTTCGCAAACACCAACATCAAGTGCTACCTCTACCGAAGCGCCACAAGAAATGCTGGCGAGGACAGAAATACGTACGTGCTGGATAAAAAGAAAAAGGTGGAAGAGAGGGTTAAATTTACGACAAACAGGAAGTACAACGAATTAGTTGCTCTGTTCAGAGGCAGAAATGAAGGCAACGCAGTGAGAAGAAGTAGAAACAGCTATTATTACTCTAATTTCGAAAAAGCAGATGTTTTAACCCTTGCAAGGAGAGACATAGAACGGCTCAAGAGAAACAAATTTAAGTATATTCCCCTAGGAGGGAAGAGAAAACACCACATTAAAAGGTTTCTCACTGACTGCCTTTTTGCCAACAATGTTAACCTGCTGGTGGGCACAGCAAAGAGACACATCCAAAGAGCGAGCCTTTATCACCTTTTTCTTCTTCTTAAGTTAAGTGTGGATTTTAGAAATTGTGAATTTTTCAAACTCACTGCGTTAGAGGCTTTCACGAACAAGGTGGAGTTGCTTGGGAGCCGCCAGAAAAATGGACATTTTGGGAGGGACCACACCTCAATGGTTCTCACTTACCAGCGTATTCTGGACGACACGTTTTTTGCTAATACGCATGGGTTCACGGAGAAGCCCCCCGCGCAGGACGTGTACTTCTTCGATGTGGTCAATTTTGTGAATGAAACGGTGCAGAGAAGAGCGGCATGCTCCTCACCTAGTAATGGCAGCGGAGAAGTGGCATCCTCCCCCCCTAGTAATGCCAGCGGAGAAGTGGCATCCTCCCCCCCTAGTAATGCCAGCGGAGAAGTGGCATCCTCCCCCCCTAGTAATGGCAGTACAGAAGTGGTATCCCCCCCCAGTAATGGGAACGCAGAAGTGGCACCACCCCCTAGTAATGACACCTCAGCAGTGAGATATCCCCCCAACTGGGCGCACCAGGGGGGGAGAAGCGACTCGAGGAAACGGCGCGGCGGACACAAGACAAAAAAGGAGGAAGACAAAAGACACATAACACAAAGGGACGAAATATACCAAGACGAAATTAAATACTTTTTCTACAATCACAGAACAAACCATTTGGGAGTCTACAAAGAAATCTTTGAAAAATCTGATGAGTACAAATGTTTAAAATTTTACGAAAATGCAAAAAAGGAATATGCGACGCGGGGGGAGGAGGGGAGCTCTCCGCAAGGGCTGCTAAACAATAAGCTGAGAAGCAGCCTGCTTAACCGCTCCAATGTTGCAGATGGGGACGTTAAACAGAGCAGCTTCCAACACGGCAACTTCGAACAGAGCAACTTCCAACACAGCAACGCTGAAGAGGCGTGGCAGTCGGGAGGGGCCCCGCCGCGAAACCGATTAAGTCGATACACACTGAAGGAGTCCGTGTTAAACGCCTTCCTCTCCGTGTGTGCAAATAATTACGACGACAGGACGTACAAATATATGAAGGCTGTGTACTTCACCAATTTTTACGTCTACAATCCGTTATTCCTGTTTCAGTACTTCAACCACATCCCCGCGAGCGAAAATAAATTGTTCCAATTCTACTTAACTGAATTTCTCAAATTTTTAAACAACATCATTGTGCATTTTCACTTTTATTTAATCCCCTTTTTTACCAATTTGAATTACTCCACGGTTTTTCTCAACTTTTTTAAAAAAAAAATGTTACACTGTCAAGGGGCGGGGGAAGGGGCAGGTGAAAGGATTGTCCACATATATAGAAGATCGAGTAACCATCAGCTCGTGAAGGAGAAAATTTCCTACACTTACAAGACTTATCAGAATAGGGAAAAAAACGTGGCCTTCGTTTTCTTCCTTTTTTATGAAATTTTCCGATCGGACAGCCTGGTGGAAAAGTACCGACAAATTTATTTGGACAATTTTTACCTGTACAGCTCAGAAAGGCAGGAGAAGAAGCAACACCTGAGCATTTTTTTTAACTTTTTAAATTACCGAAGCGTTTTTAACAAATATGAGGATGAGCTGAAGGGGGTTCAGATTGAGAGGAGGCAGTTTTATAAGCGGCTTCTCGCGGCTACGAAGAGGATAAGGGAACACAGCTCCGTGAAGATCCCGACGAATGGGGGGGAGGAGGAATCTACCCCCCCTCGGGGAGACATACTCGAGGGAGATGCATCACTCCGTAGTGACCGCTTAATAACCAGTATGGTGGGACGTCGCACTGCCGCACGCGGGCCGTTGGCCTCTAATTTGGCGTTGAAGAGGCGGGAATTTCTCCGCGGCATGCAGAGGGCCCACCAGGAGTTCGCAGCGGGAGGAAGCGGTCGGGGAATCAGCGGCGGGGGAGTAAGCAGCGGGGGAGTAAGCAGCGGGGGAGTAAGCAGCGGGGGTTCAGTTGCACAAATTCATCCACTCCGCGGCGATAAACCAAATGGGAGGCATGGACCGAACGGAGGGACCCTCCCTTGGGAGATCCTCCAGATGCACGACGGTAATCTCAAGCACAACATCATTTCAGTCCGAAAGAGGGAAGTCTTTAATATGATTCTCCACCTGAACAAACACAACTTCACACAAAGTGCAAACTACCTCAACCGATTCTGCTTCTTCCTCCTGAACGAATTCTGCGAGAAGGACATAGTAACCCTCTTTGCTAACCACCTGAAGTACAACGGGAACGATCATGATCTCTTGTTACTTAATAAGATAATCAACATTTTGATTTACAAGAGAAAGAACATTTCTCTGAGTAACAACATTACGATCTGTAACAGTCTAGCCAAATACCAGCTTTTTCACAATAATTTTTTTTCGTTGGACAAAAGGAACTTCTTCGATGAAGTGACTGACGCGAATATCCACTCTCTCGTCGCACTGCTGTACTCTTGGGGGAAGCTCAAGGTGAGAAATCTGGACCCCCTTTTTTACCTGCGGGTTATTAGAGAAATTATTAGAAAGATCGATAAGATTAATGAGTACGGCTTGTCCTGCTTGCTGTACGGGCTGAACAACCTCATTGATAGGAGGAAGGCCAGGGAGGCGTCCATAATACCGGCCCGCCAGGGAAGTGTCGAACGGGGAAGCCACATCGAGCAAGGAAGCCATATCGAGCAAGGAAGCCACATCGGACAGGGAAGCCACATCCAACAAGGTGACCACCTCCAGACGGTAGCCCTTGAAAACGAACTCATAAGAGCGATAGTAAACAAACTGACCATCTTCAAAAATATGAACATCAATTCTTTTTGCATATCAATTTCGTGTCTTTCCAAGATAAATATTTTCCCGAAAGAATTATATGAGGAGGTCAGGACGGTCACATACAAATACATGCACAGCGTGAATGTGACCTCATTGCAGCACCTCCTTCTGGCTCTCTCCAAATTTTACATTAAAAATAAACCAAGTCAAGCAACCGATGAGCTGATATTTGACATTTTCAATTTTCTCTTCACTTATAAATATAATGATATATCTTTTAAATGTGCGTGTAAATTTCTGCACATCTTGAGTTTATTGAATTTGCGGGATGAAGACTTCATCCTTCTTCTTCTGCTGGTCATTTCGAATGAGCAGAAGGTTTTGGATGCTTACCACAGGGGGAGGAACAACGTCTCTTTTGGGGAAGCGAATTCCCCAAACGGGGTGGCAGTCCCCAGGTCGGACGCGACCAGCCTCAACAGGGGAAACTCGTTTAGCCCCGTTGGTACGCTTCATAATGGTGGGACTCAGCTTGGTTATCGGCCCTATGTAGCAACAAACACTCACCATACGAAGGAACCACCCCCCTTGAGTAGTGACCCCTCGGCGATGCGAACAAACCAGAGTTGCAAATACAAGGCCGCTTTATTCATCAAGGGGCTAAGTGCACTGAAGGAGGACGATTATTTTAAGAGTTCCCATAGCGCGTACCCATTTTTTGACGTCAAAAAGTACAAGTTTGACCTGTCCAAAGTTTTGCTCATTTTTAAGAATGCCGATAGTAGCTACCTCGTCAACGTGTTGGAGAGTCTGTACAGCCTGTCATACTACTCCTATTTTTCAATTCACCTCACCGTGGTCATAAAAAATATTATGATAAAGCAAATCCATGACTTGAAGGTGTCCAGCATAATGGCTCTTCTCTTTTCTTACGTGGATTTACACTTCTTTGACCACTCTCTGTATGACATAGAATTGAATTTATTTTTAAGTGAAGACAGTGGTGGTAGTGTCCCCATTGAGGAGGGAGCCCAATGGAATGATGAGCAGCCTCTCCTGTTCGAAGCTGCCGTGGGGGACGCGATTGAGAAGGACCCTATTGAGAAGGACCCAATTCAGAGGGACGCCTCAGAAGGGGTAGGCGAGAATGAAAAAATAATTCCATCAAATAGGAACCACTACCGACCCAGTGATGAATACACTACCGCTAATCTGAGAGAACAGCTCCACAACGTGTACAACCACATGATTTGTAACTTCAAAATGATGAATGAGCAGGAACGGATGCTCTATATCGAGAAGCTTAAACTGCTCATGTGCGAAATGAAGAAGAAGAAAAAATACTTTGTGGACAATATTTACAATGAGAACAACACGCCAAGCGTGGAGTACATACTGTCCATGATTCACGACTATGACGAGATGGGGAAGGAGAACTGTCCGATGGAGCAGAGGGGAAGACTCTTCTCATCTGAGAGAAGAGACCAACCCTCGGGATACATTCCCGATATGGATGCGCGCAGCTATAGGGACAAGGGCCCCCTCGCGACGCGCAAAAAAGACCGCGAACTGGACAACTCGCTGGACGAGAAACACTTCGAACAGATCAAAAACATCGTAGACCAATTCAGCTCGGTGAAGGAATTCCACTTGAGGGACAAAACGCTGAGGGAAAAATTACAAAAAAAAGAATACTACGATGATTTCTTCTTTTTAAAATATAGAGAATACTACAAAGAAGACCTCATCAATTTATGCCTCGAAACGATGCTAAAAAATGTGACTTACATTTTGAACAATTATAAGCAGTACAAAAACTGCAGCACTTTTTTCCTCCTCCTCTTCTGCGACATTTTCCTTCCGTACACCACCAGCGACATTTTTCTCTACTTCAATTCCATTCAGAGGAGTTACGATGGTGAGGATGGCCGTGACAACAAAAATGGAGATCATAACAAATGGAAGCAAGAGTTCCAGCACATTTTGGAAAACATAGAGCTATCCCATTTTACCACAGACACGGTTAGAATCGTTATTAACGCGAAGAATGCCTCCAACATGGTCATCCCCTATTTGGAAATATTACAACATAACAATAACTTCCTCAACAAAGCCGTATGTGTGAGTGGTAAGAGTGAAGAAGGGGCGCACTGCGTAGAGGACCTTCAACATGTTAGCGGCAAGCGAGATGGCCATCCGGAGGGCGGAACGCACAAACAGCATGGAACGTATGGTCACACTTCAAAGGAGTACCAACACTTCATAAACTCGTATGACTCCAGTTATAGGCCAAAAAAGATCAAGTTTGAAAATATCGTCCCCTTAAACTTATTGTACAAATTTTTCCAACTATTCAACTTTAACATAAATAACGTGCAACTGATTTACCTCCTAAACGAAGTGATTAAAGAGAAGGAGTTAAACGAGCCAAGCGACGCCAACGTGCAAGTCCCAAATGACAACGCAATCCACTTTAGCAACAATCAAATTTCGCCTGACCAGTTCAGAAAAGTTTCCTACCCCCTCATACAAATACGAAATAAAACCTTAATTGTTCATAAAAATTTCAAGAAAGTTTTTTTTAAAAATTTCAACATCATAGATCACTACTTTAAGCCATCAAGAGGTATGCTTATACAAATATTGGACAATGGCATTCATAAGGCAATTTCGATTTATGTGGACGTGTACGTTGTTGCTTATAAGGTGGATATCCTGATTGAGCGAGACGCTGTGTTGCATCAGTAGGGGAGGGGTATTGGGGAAGCGAGCCATCGAGGTAGTAAGGCAGCCGCACTTGCTCAGCTAGCCAAAATGAAACGCATCGGAAAAAAAAAAAAAAAATAAAACTAGCGAAATGTGCATTACAACCGTGTGCCCACACCATTTGCACCAATTCTTTTTTTTTTACGTTTAAAAGGATATAACTTCATGCTTTTGTGCATCTTTTGAAAATTAAAAATGTGTGCATCTTTCACCGCTTTTCCTTTTCGAATTAACGCAACCTTCGTGCGTCTGTTTGTGTCCCCTTTCACTGCTCCGACGCAGTGTTCTGAGATTAACACCCCCCCGGTCCCACCATTTGGTGTGTTTTAGGCCACCACAGTGGGGAAAGAAGGAGGATTTTGTGTGGTTAAACGTTGGAGAGACAGGTGGATCCTCTGTTGTGTTATAAAAATGGGAGTATACTCCTAAATAACAATTTCGATGTAACGAGGGTGAGTGAAGTCTTTCCATTCAATCGATTAGCACCAAATTATCGTTCACACATTCTTCGTCCTCGATGACGATTTCTTCTACCCTGTTCTGGGTGCATACCTTCTTTTTATCGTTCAGGGAATCTTTCTCCTGGTTTATTTGTTTCCTTTTTTTTGCGCTGCAATGGGGTGGGAGGGAAAAGAAAAAGTTGCACGTATTGTGAGGGGCACTCCTACGCAATTGCAACGTCATTCGTGGGTGTAGTTCATCCGGTGTAACTGGAACACCACTGCGCCGCAACGTGGCGAACGCTTGTCCCACCTGGGGGGAGGCTCCTCCGGCTCAAGCAGCTCCTTTGCTTTCCTCTTCTTGACAACTTTCTGCTTTATTTCATAGGGTGTCTGCAGGGTGGGATCCTCCTTGAGGTGAATCTCCAGCTGATCCTTATCATTCTGAAAGTCCGTCAAAATAAGAATCTCGTCATTTTGTATGTCCCACTCACTGAGCGAGTTCTGCAACCCCTTTATGTACTCATCGTCCTCCTCCAAAAAGTAGTCATAGTCGAAGATGTTTCTATCCTGCTTGTCCAGGAAGGGGTACAAGAAGGCCAACTCATTTGTGCACACATTTTTTACAAAATCGTACAGCGTCATTTCGGTGAAACTTTTGATATAGATATTTATCATCGGCTGTTGGCATATGTAGCAGCTGGGGTTGGGAGGCTCTAAATTTTCAGCGTTCACAATGTTTCCTCGTGAGAACATCCTGTTCCCGCTGACGATACTTTTGACCCAGACGTGCTTTGCCTTGCTGTCCCTTAAACTGTTTTTTGCGGCCACATTCTCGGCCCCCTTCATACGTTCGAAGTGCTCAATAACGTGAATGAGTTGTGAGGCCTGCAGCGAGGCCACAATCGCGTTGGTAGACGAAATAGCCGGAATGATATTTCCCGCGATGGACTGCACATCGAACTTGCTTTTCTGCTTAATGGAAAAATTCATCATTCGTAAATTCGAAATGGCTGTTATGAAATTGATGCAGTCATCGTCATCCTTGTCAAACACCAGGTACTCCTCCGCTTCTTTATTTATGTTTAAGTAGCTATACAACTTTGAAAACGTTTCTGTGTATATTTTGACGCACTCATCTTGTTTCCAGATTTTTTGAGAGGACAGGTTGATGGCCGCTTGTTCCGTCTCCTTGTCGTTATGCGCCTCGTTCTGTCCGCTTGCATGGGTGGGGCCACTTCCATTGGGGGGGTGATCACCTCCCTCCTTTTCCGTCTCACCACATTTGTCCTCCTTCTTTACAGTCCCGTTGAACTGTATGGGGATGGGCTCGGTGACGTAGTCCTTCTTCAATGCGGCGAGCTCCTTAATGGTGTCGTAAAAGAGGTAGTTAAAAATGAAGGTAATAATTTCATACTGGTCCATATTTCTCTTCTTTGATTCTTCTTCAATATGATTCTTAATGTCAATCAAAGTTTCATTATCACTTTTGCAGAAGAAAGTCTCAAAAATGAGTCTCCCCCAGGCTACGCAATGTTCAGGTAGAGATGGGGTCTGCCTGATGGTGCAAATGGCGTATGTTTTATTTTTGGGTTTCTCCTCACAGTTGTAACACTTTGTTTCATTTGCAAGGATGGGATACACTTGGCCGTTATACCCTGTGCTCCCTGCTTCAATTAAGACCTTTTTTTCCATTACGCATAATTTGTTTACATATTTTCTGGCCTTAATATTATCCAGGGCGTTCACAACATAGTCGTACTTTGCTATGTCACTGCTTTTCATCGTGCAGACATCGAATGTGTAGGCGTTGATGTTTAGACCTTTGTTGTGCTGGAGAGCCCTCTCCTTAGCGACAAACGATTTGTACTTCTTCACATCATCCTTCTTAAATAAGAACTGTCTATTTAAGTTGGTGATGTCAATCGTGTCGATGTCCACTATGTCGATGTTTCTACAACCTATGGTGATTATATTTTTTAGGAATTCACTTCCTATTCCGCCCGCCCCCACGAGCAGGATCTTCATGCTCTCTATTTTATCGCATGTTTGGGGGTCGAAGATTTTTCGCACTGTGCGGTGCATGGCGCAGAAGTGCGGCAGAAGTGGCGGAAAAGTGGTATACAAATATCGCTTCAACTGCAAGTGCCGCTTCACACTTGAGCGCCATGCAGGGGTAACCTCGCGCGGGAGGGCAACTTCTCCCACTGAAAGTCACAATATCGGAGGAAGCAACAAAAGGTGGCTAGCTACAGCGTGTTCTTTAACTAGCATGCTGGTTGACTTTGTACCTCCCCAAGGTTTTCTTTTTTTTCTTTCCCACAAATGGGGTTACTCTTACAGGGGGGGAGGGGGGATCTGCGTAAGGAGAATTTTTTCTTTTTTTTTTTTTTCTACCATTGCAATTTCTCCACCAATGATAGGGCAAAAAAAAAAAAAAAATTTTTCTTATTAGCACGCAAAATTGCACCCCGCGCGGATGTTTCAAAAGGGTGATGCCTGACAGGGACCGATACTAAATGAGCTTCATCGCTCCGTCGCTAAAGCAGAGACTTAACGAAACATGCGCGTGAGACCCTACTTCGCAAGAGCTTCTCCTGCGTCCACCCAGCTTCTTCTCTTCTACCTGTGCGACAGGAGACACTTGTGCCACAGGCGCCCCTTCGCGAACTCTACAACGTAGAAGTGGACACGTAACAAGTTGGCATGTTCAGGGGTCTATATATTTTTTACGGAGGGGGGACAAACCGCAGGAACGAACCAGGCCCAGAGAATAATGGCGAGGCACGCTTGCCTTATTCGTTCGTTTTAAAAGAACAGCTGAGTTATGCTTCTTTTTAGGGACCCCATTTTGTCTTTTACACCATAGGGGAGGATAACTCGTGTGTATCGGCTTATAGAGCAAAAAGAAAAAAATAATAAATAAGGGAAATAATGAATAGAAAAAATAATGAACAAATGACAAGGCACAAACAGTTCCTGCATTTGCACGTATGAGAAGCTTGCCTCCATTTTTACGCCGTCAAATGAGGAGCCTGGTGGGAAAGGAACACGGGGGGGCTCCTCACCTTGCGGCTATGGCCGCTGCTTTCCGTGTGGTAATATGATGGCGCTACTACACAGCAAATGCTTTCCCACTGCCTAGAAAGGCATAACCCCCTCTACGAGGTTAATTCTTAACGAGTCCTTTTTTCTTACACGGGAAAAGGTGCACCACGCGGAGGTGTTAATAAAGAATGAATTTCAGCTTGTGCGCGTGTTTATGTGTGTGTGGCGATCGGGGGGGAGGATCTTCTCTGAGAAAAAATGTCCCAATGTAACGACGTAATGGCCTAATGCCGTAGTGACGAAGCAAAATAGTCGAGGGAAGCTCGCGATACGAGTCGCTCGGCAACGGCGCCGCGAACTTCCCACTTGCGTACCAATTAGGGGAAAAAAAAAAATTGTCTTTCCCCCTTGGACTACTCGGGAATACATTTCCGTTTCTCCGTCAAACAACTCCATCGCGAGTGTCCATTTTTAGTGACACACGGAGTAACAACAGATTGGAATGCTCACCATCACCGCCGAACGTTCACTTGTTGTAGTTGTCTTTACACAAATTGCATTTTTGTGTACCCTATTCTGCATGCATACATTCGCACACTTACAACAACATGGAGGAAAAAAAAAGGAAAAAAAGGAAAGAAAAAGAAAAATACTCCTGTGTACGAATTAGCTATGACTGGTCGAAGTTATTTTTTCCTTTTTGTCTGTGCATTTCTATGGTTGCTTGGAAGTGCACAATTTTTTTTTTTTTTTTTTTGTTAACCTGCGCTTCGCATGGTGTGCTGCCTTCATGCGTGTAGTTTTTTTTTTTTTCTGATGATACTGTGTGGACTTTCCTGTTTTGGATTATTTCGAGTGAAGCACGTTTTTGCGTCTTTCCGACTGCCTCTTTCCTATTGCGCCTTCCTCATTGCGCCTTCCCCATTGCGCCTTCCCCATTGCGCCTCGCCCCGCGGAGTTGTCAAAGCGAAAGTAACGTTGCCCTCTGCGCGGCAGTGTACTTCCTCCACCAAAGCGTTGCAAAGAGGGGCACTAAAATCGGGTGGGAACATCCCCCTTGGCAGAGCAACAGGTGCACAGGTGCAAGTATAGGTGCACGTCCGCTGCTCTTTTAGCTGCACGTTTAGGGAGGTATATCCCCTTAGGTTGATACCCCACATAGGAGACAGCCCCAAAATGTCGCGCAAAAAACCGCAACTCTTCCTCATCTGTGACAGCGAGGGCTTCACGTGGATCCCTCTTCTAACCGTGGAGTGGAAAATAAAGTACCTCTTCTGCAGCGACGCCAAAATGAAGAGGTGCTTTGTGGACACCTTCGGCCTGTACGATACGGAGACGAACACACACGACAATGTTTTGAAGTTCATTGAGAAGCAAAATCTCGAAAACGTCCATCTGCTCTTTATAGCCATGTCGACGTCGAAGCTCCATGAGCTTATCTTGGAATACATAATAAATCAGAAGAAATTTTACTACATCTTCAGTTCGAATTTACCAACAATGCACATGGAGAAGTTAAGCAAATTGAAGGCGTCACTAAAGAACTTCAATATAGACAGTGACATCATTTACGACGTGAAGGCAGAGTTCAAAAAAACGAACAAGCAGTTCTACTGGAATATCTTTAACGCCTTAACGAATCAGCGTGTTTTTTATAATCTAAAAACTACACTCCACGAGTTAGGGGGACACATATATGGCGTTCAGATCGAATGTACCTTCATGCCATTTTTAACAGACAATGAGGGCATAGAGAATGTCCTCTTCTACAAAACGGTGCTAATTATATCCTTAATTGAGTTCTTATTTTGCAAGCCGAAGAGCGTATCTGCCAAATGCTACTCTGTGAAGGGCGAGAATATCACGGTGAAGTCTATTGCAGGAAGTGCTCTCTTCGATTCGCTCAATTGCCACTTTAACATTTCGGACAACTCAAGCAACAGGATCTTTGACGTCAAGGTGTTCGGTGACAACGGCTCTGTGGAAGTTTCCTACAACGCGGAGCATAACTGTGGGGGGAAAAAAAAAGAGAGAAAAATAAAATAAAATAAAAGTGCACCACAGATAAGGACCTACACACGCGCACATTTGCGGGCGCCTCTGCAACGATGCAAACTCATTTCACTCTCCCCCTCCTCTGCAGGCTTCCAACTGCTGCGATGCATGAACCACTACGAGTACCCCAGTCTCTTCGTGGAGAGTGCCCACGAGAGCGCCTTGAATGTGCGTACCTGCGCGGCGAGCGAAGTGGAAACTTCGCAATATGCGCAATATGAGGGACGTGCACGACTGCATATATATGTGTCTGTGCCATCTGCTACTTCCTCGCGTTTTCCCTACCGCATACCGCTCCACCGTAACGTGTGGCTCCTCTCTTCCCCGCAGGAACTCAAATACTTCGTGGATGAGAATCTCTACACCAATAAGTACCTCAATATGTACACAAACGCTATCCACACAGCCCTCTGTTTGTGGAAAAGCAACGGGGAAAATATTTCCCTGGACAGTAAGAAGCCCGATGAGTGTGCTGCCATCGATGCAGAGATCAGGGTGGAGGCAGTCAAGAACTTCAGCATAACCGCGTGATGGAGGACAAAAAAAGGGGGATCCACCACGTGATGGGCTACAAAAAAGAGGGGTATTTTGTAATATTTGACGACACATGAGAGGGAAACTTACCCCATCGGGTGGCTTCCTCGATGGAATGCTCTTGGTCAAAACTCCCCTTTTGGTGAACACCCGACGGGGAAGGAGAAGATGAAAATGAAGAAGCAGGTTTGGAGGGGGCCTTCCAACTGGGTCTACACTCACCTGCGGGAGGAAAATCCCTGTCTGGTAGAAGCCTTACCCGTGTGTTCCATTCGGGCGAATGCTCTTGCAGGCAGATTAAATTCCGCGCATGAAGGGGATGCTACGGGGGAAAAAAAAAATAGCAGCTCCATAGGAGGATAAACGAAATGTACCCCCATGGAGGGTGACCATAAAAAGGGTTTATGCACTTTTCTTGCGCTTTTTATGCACTCTTTATGCAGTCTGTATGCACTTCTTATGCACCACGCGGATGCATACCATCCGAACGGATGGCAATTTTTTTGCTCCATTTAGCCTTACTATATGTTGGGCGTTTTCCGCTTGTAACTTCGGTATTCCTCGCCGTAACACTCCAGCAAATACGTCTCTTCCATTTTGATGGTTCGATAAAAGTAGACCCACGAGACGAAAAAAGATAATACGAAACAGAAAAGGTTCATGAGGAGCAGTTGCAAGACTGAGGGGGGGGGAGAAATGATGCGGCACATGTGTTTGTGCTAGTGGGCATAGGAGAGTTCACACGCGCTGTGTTGATCCCCCCAACGATGTCGTTTCCGTATACATTTTGTCTGCAGAAGGGCAGGGTGGTAAGTGCACCGCGTGTCTTTCCACACAGAAACAGAGGCAGACACGGACAGAGACACATGAATCGCCATCGACATCACTACCGCTGCCGACTCAATCCAGTGGGGTCTTACACAATGCGTAGTAGAACCAGCCAGTGTAGCAGGGATGCCTCATATACTTATACACACCGGACGTCACCAACTTATGTTTGTTCTTGAGGCACCTGTCGGCCAACTGGTCACTGCTCAAAGCGTAGAAGCAGAAGTTCCTCGAGCAATGAAGCAAACCTAATATTCGCAAAAGTAACCCACACAGAGAAAGCAGCATGGATAGCAGAACCAATAGGAGGTGGTACTTGTGTGCCTGTTTGTAGCTTCCCTTCACTTGATACTTATCAAATATGTCTGCGTATTGGTGGATAATTTTTTTCCAGATGGAGTTGCTTAAGTCGTACGTTTTGCATGTCGTGGTTTTGTCAAGGATAGGTGGTCCCATGGTGAAGAGGCACCCTCCGTAGGTCCTCCCAAGGGGGGAAGCGCCGTCACACGTGGGAAAAGTCTCCGTTTCTCCCTTACGTTTTGCATCGATTTGGGAAGAACTTGGCTGTCCTTTTGCTAACGGAAGGGTGAAGGCCCCCTTGCGTAGCTCCCCCTTCACGAGCATGCGGTTCTGCAGAAGGAGAAGTAAGGAGGGCTCCCCCTGGTGTCCGCCCTCTGCCGCTCTCGTGCCAACAAGAGAGCTGACTCTCCAGGTGACTCCCTTGCTCACTCCGCCGCTCACCCCCACGCCGACCCCGATGCCAACTTGGCGTGCGCCGCCATTTTCTCCCCAATCGATCTGATTAACATAGCCGTAGGAGCCTACGCTTCTCCCATTCGGCAGAAAATTCTGGAGGAAAAAATAATTCACAATGAGGAGGTTATGAAGAAGCCTCTTGCTGAAGTATTTCTCAAAGAAGTGCACCAGGACGAAGAAAAAAATCTTGGCGTAATATTCAAGCAGCGTAAGGATGAAGAAGTAGACGTAGCCCCAATTAGGGTTCACTAAAAAGTTGTAATAGTTGGAATTATCTCTGTTGTGTAAGAAAGAGAGGAAAAATTCGGACAAGTGGAATGTCGTAATGATTAGAAAGAAGATGTTCAGTGGGAAGTTACTTCCTACATTAAGGATAAAGTGGATGAGGAAGAAGAAAAAGAACACGAGCAACCCTTTGGCGAAGAGGTAGTTCTGAGGACTCCGCTTCGAGTAAACATCTCTGTGTGGCTGGAATGCAACTAAAAGGTAGATGCTGACAAATCCATTCTCCAAGAAGACGTCCAAGCAGTGATCAATGGCGCGATATAGACGGTGGTTCCCCTTCTGTATGTCCTCACCAGAGGCAGGACTAATCAGCTGCACCAACGTTTTGTAATTCAGTAGGGATGTGTACAAAAGGAAGGCAGTTAGGAGGTACACGCCTACGTTCATTTTGGGTGGAGCTGATCGGCGGGGTCTTCTCTCTAGCGGCTTCGTCTCTCTCCCTGCTTAGCCGTTTATCTGTTTAGCAGCTTCCTCTCTCTCCCTTCTTAGCCGCTTATCTGGTTAGCCGCTTACGGGTGGGGTCCCCCCGTGATGCGTATTTCCTCAAAAAGGCGACTGCAAAGGGGCATAATCTTCAATGGTTTAATTTTTCCCACTTGTACGTACGGGGAGGGTGGGGGATGATGCTGGTAGAGACCCGTACCAATAGGAACACACCGAGGGGCTAAAATGGGGGTATGGAAAACCGGGGTACTCAAAAAGTACTTTAAAAAAATGATCATGATAGGTGACTGCGGAGGGAACTTCTTCCTACCGCAGTGTTCCAATCTGTGTACTATGTTACATTGTAATATATCAGGTCAGGCCAGATCACATCAGATCTATTACATTATTTTATTTTTTTTCCTTTCCCCCTGCTCGTAGCGACTCTTACAAATCTTTCGTTCCGTTTGGGGCGCACCCTACAGCTGCTTCTGGAAGGAGGCGCTCTGATCGTGGGCTATCCTTTCAATCGTTGGTCAGCGCAAAAAAAAACAAAAAAGGAAAATAAAAACATCCTGTTTGGGACCCCATTTTGACACAGCGCTAGGTTGTTTTGTTCTATTATTGTATTGTATCGTATTGTATTATTTTTCCCTTGTCATGCCTGCTTAGATACACCTCCCAGTTTATCTTACCTCTTTTTTTCTTTTTTTTTTATTTTTCTCGCTTAGTCCTCTTTTTTTTCTTTTTTTTTGGCCCCCGCGTGTACCCTTCAAATGCTGGATGCACAACTCACTGTGCCTTTCCCTTACGCTGCTTAGCTCGTGTGGGCAGTGCTTCTGGGTGAGGCACCCGGAGAAGACACTCGGCCCGTCTTTCACTCCGCAGAGAGGTGGACGTTGTAGTCACGTCCCTAGCAGCCATGGAAGAAGCGTCGTAAACTCCAATCGCCACCCCGCACAGTTTGCGACCAACGAAGAAGGGGAAAGTCAAGATGAAGCCGAAGCGAACATATTAGACAGCTCGTATGTCTATCACATCCCCGTGCTCGCTGACGAAGTGGTACGTTACCTTAGGGGTGACGACCCCAGAGAGGACAACACGGAGGGGAGTCACTCAGAAGGGCAGCCTATAGAAGGACAGCGCACAGGAGGAGAGACTACAGAAGAACACCACATAGAAGAACGCCACATAGAAGAACACCACACAGATGGAGTAGAATCACCGGGCGAGGCACGCCCCCCCTCTTTTTTTATCTCATCACGAAGGGAGAGAAAAGAAGAAAAGGGAGAAGGTACCACTCTGCGGAGAAAAATGAAAAATGGAAAGAACCCAAATGGGGGGACGCAACAAAGGGGTGCTTTTTCCAAGCCCCTTTCCTCTACATATCTCTCACGGCTTTCCCCAAAGCAGAATATCCCAGGTGAGTACTACATCGATGCCACACTGGGAGGTGGCGGACACACTCTGGAGATGTTAAAAAAGTTGGGACCAACAAGCAAGGTCATCGCCATAGACAAGGACATAGAATCCATTTATTACAACAAAGAGAAGCTGAAATGTTATATAGATGTGAACAAGCTGACGATGATACATGGCGACTACAGACACATCATTCACCTGCTGCACCGGTATGGTCTTCCCCTGTTTGGCAGTTACAGTGGAATTTTACTCGACTTAGGTGTATCCACGCACCAGCTCAGATGTGGGAGGAGGGGGTTCAGTTACAAGCACAACAGCCCCCTTGACATGACCATGGATAGGTACACCGATGAGGAGTACGCCCGGATGTGTAGGGAAAGTGCGGAACGGAGCGGGGGCGCTTCGAAGGAGGATTGCCAATACGATGAGGCGAACCAGATTAAGCGGGTCAACTGGGAGAGCCCCCAAACCGTGCCGAAAAAACGAATCGGTGAAATACTCAACACGTACAGCCTCCAACAGTTAAGATTCATCATGCACACCTATGGTCAGGAAAAAAAGGCTTCTAAAATTGCCAAAAAAATTGTACAGTGGAGGAAAAGCAGTGGAACTATCACCACCACGTATCAGCTGAGAGACATCGTTCTTTCCACATGCAGACAAAATTACAAAGCAAATCAAAAGGTCTTGTCCAGAGTATTTCAGTCATTTCGAATTTACATCAACGATGAAATGAAGGCCTTAAGGGAGTTTCTATTATCAAGCTATAAATTGTTAAGGGGTGGAAAAAGGCTTGTCGTTATTTCGTATCATTCATTAGAATACAAGTGTGTGGAAATGTTTGTCCATGGAAGGAAAAACTTGTGGGAAAAGGTTAACGACGTCGATATAACCCCCAGTGAAGGGGAGTTAAAAGTCAACAAATCTGCGCGCTCCGCCAAAATGTTAGTTTTTGAGAAAATTTAGGCACCCATTCGTTCAATTGCCCATATGAAGTGCGTGGGGTAGAAAAACCCATCTTCTTATACTACTCTCCGCACCTGCATGGTGTGCAAATCCGTTTGGCTCTTTTACTCATCCCCAGGGATGCATCTCTTATTAGGATATATTTTTTTTTTTTTTTTTTTGTTCTTCGTTTAATGTTCTGGGGAGTGGCCCACTCAGTAGTAGTTACACACGCATGGCGAAGCCGAACGAGAAGGTGTAACCATCTGTACGTTGTTCACCTGTCCATGTCCTTAGTTTCTTGCAAGGTGGAGACGTCTTCCTCCATGCACACATATATAAAGAAAGACCCATGCATGTGTTGAGAAATGCCATTCGCCGTAACAGGGAAAAAAGGTACATATGCGGCAAGATATTTTCCCCCTCTTTTTTTTTTTCTTTTTTTCATTAACTTTACAAAAAAATCAAAGCTGAAAACTTATCTATCCCCTTTGCTTGACTAAGACAGTGTGCTCACCTCTTATATGCAGGCGCCTGTCTGTTTCTTCTGATCCTTCCGCCGTAGCCAGTTTTCCGCCTGATGTATTCTGTTCCGTTCATAATTTTCCTTTTCCGATCGGAAAAGCATCGCACTTGCGCCTGTTTCGCGAGGGGGATATGGGAAGAAAGGGGACAACGTGTTAAAGGAGGGAGGCAGATCGCTCTGGGGCAGTTTACGTGGGAGGAAATACGAAACATCAGCTTAGAGCCATCTTTGCTAAGCTGCGCAGCGAGTGGCCCAAATAACTCACATGGAGAGCATCCTCCATTGCGCCGCTCCCCTGTAAACCTTACCAAAACTTTTGGCACGTTGGCCATTTTTACGATTATGCTGATACCGTTCATGTTGTACAGCAGAAGGGGCGGAAAGAATGAACAAATAAAGCGATCGCGTGGAAAGCTACAAGCGCTGCAAACGCTACATACGCTGCAAATCGCGCAAAGGAGCTGTTCACCCGCTTGGTAAAATTCCACTGGTTCTTATGAAGGGGAAGCTATCAAAGTAACGTGCGATAATCTGCTTTTTCCTTTTAGCCGACGTTGGATTTTTCTGCTGCATGCCTGTGTCCTTACCCGACGACAAGTGGATCCGCGGCAGTTGCCCAAAAAGCTTTTAAGATGCGCGAGAGTTTAAAATGATCACTTGTTCGCACTTTCACCTGTTCACTTGCCCACTTGTTCATTTGTTTACCTGTTTGGCTTTCCCTCTTCATTTACAAAACGTACGGGGACCGTGAGGATGCTTGCCTTCCCCGCAGCTCCAAACATTTATGTGCATATCTTCCGACCGTTCATGCGTTTGGGGGGAAAAAAAAAAAATCCTCCACAAATGGCTAGCTGTTTCTCCAAAGATACAAAAATATGGGACATCCGTTCGTTTCGCAAAAAATGGCTACACAAAAAAACGGCTTGCCTTTTTTTGGTAGCACACTTTCACATGAACCGTTCAGGCACTTAAAATGTGTTGCCCCGCAAGTTCTACATGAACAGGTCATAATTTTTACACACGAAAAAAAAAAAGAAAAAAAAAAAATGCAGGAATTTTATGTCAAAATGGCGTTAACCTTGATCGTTAATTTTTATGAATTTGTTTCCCCATTTGGTTTATCGGCGTCTAAATAGTTTTTTTCGTTTTCCTCTGTTTGATTTATTTTTGCCTCTTTTTTTTTTCGTGACTGTCTTGAAGTTCCACATGAACACGCTCTAACATTCACCATTTCGCACCTTTCCTCGTTTGCCACTTTATGTTAATCGTTTTTAGACGAAAAGCGTAACAGTTATCCCCCCCACCCCCCTTGGCTTCTCTCCTTCGCTCTGTCAATCTCGGTCCCACTTTGTAACCCCAACTGAGCTTCAGACAAGTGTAAATCCTCCTTTTTTCTCTCTCTCTCATTTAAACCGCGTACATATTTTCCCAAAATGGAAAACGCCTTCTACATATACACCAAGAACGAGGCTGATATGGACAGCAGAACTTTCGTAAAAATTTTGAAGGACGCTAGTAAGGCATTCAAAAAGGGGAATTCCCCCGAGGGGTTCATCGTCACTGCATAAAATTCTTCCTATGTAATGTGTGCCATGTGAATATGCCCCTCTTCTCAGGAGCGGTTGGCATGTGTTCATGCAAGTGCGTAAAAAGTTGCGCGCATTTTTTTTCTTTTTGTCCCATTCATTTTGTACCTTTTCGCTCGCCCCTTTAATGAAAAAATTGCCCCTTCTGAGATGCTGGAAAGAGGGAAAAATCCTACGCCTTTCCATTCATACCTTTGCTTGTAAAAAATTTCCCTATGTCCCATTGGGCAGACTTACATAACCGCTTCTTTTTTTCTCCCCCACGCTACTCCTTTCTCAGAATTGCTGAACAAAAAAGTGACGGCCGTGGATGCGGATCTCACCTTCGCGAAGGTTAAAGCGAAAGGAGCCAAAAGAATTAACTATGACCAGTTTGTTGAAGCAGTTAAGCATTTGGTAGACAAGCACAAGTTGGATTATGGCCAGTTTGTAGAAACATTATGCAATGAAGCTTCTAATGGACCAATCCTTTATGGGACCAAAGCTGCCAATGTGAGGTTCCATGATGACAAGTCGACCTACACGGGGGTTCATAAGATGGGCGGACCAACCATCATTGATAAGAACAAGACGCAATTTTCTGACATATCCGAAATTACAGATCGTTCGGAATGCAACATACGGGGAGTTAATCTCAGCGTTGAGAAGAATTTGTAGCTGGGGAGACACCAAGAGGGGAAAGGCGGGAGGTCCCCATGCTGTTTCTACGTTTTTGAGGAAAATGCTACTAAAGGGAGGATACCCCCATAGTGCTAACACATTTTTGCGTGTCCCTTTATTTTTTTTTTTTTTGAAAGAGTGCGCACCTGCATGTAGCTTTCACATGTGGGCATGTATCGCCCCCCTCCGTGTGCACACTGTGCCTGGGATGATTGGAGCAGTGCGCATGAGCCGCTATCTATGTATGTCTCTATATATATGTATATTTCCTTTTTTTTTTCTCGTTTATCCTATTTGGTGGCAAAAACAGGGCAAGTTTTTATGTGTACTTAAGGATATGTCCAGCCTCTGTGATGTTCCCGCGCTAGTGCCTTATTTTTGCCGTGTCTTACCTTTCGACTTCCTAACCTGACCTATTCGTGAAAGTAAAAGTGCTCTTTTGCGAGGCATCCGTGGGTTCTACTTGAAATGCCTTACATTGAGTGTATGCCTGCGCAAAGGTTGCAAGTCCGACTGCTTGACGTTCTACCCCCGCGCGATGCAATCCGTTAGGCAGAACGTACAAGGGTTACCTCTCGAGGTGAATCGTTTTCCGACTCCTTACAAGGAAAGGAAGACAAGGAACGCACATTTAGGTTGCAAAAATAAGCGGAGTGACACAGGTGCCCCCCGTTGCCGTGTTAAGGAGCACATAGTATTGTAAATGGGGTTAGAGAGAGAGAGAAAAAAAAAAAGGAGTGGCAAAATAAAATACGACATAATGCTGCACAGTATGGCGTAGCACATCACAGCATGTGTGCAGAACAGTGGCTAAAAAGGGCCCCCTCGAAACTTCCAGGTGCGAAATAATGATTGGCTTAGAAGGGTTCCCCCCAAGCACGGCGTTGTGTGCAAATTAATATTTTTGACGTGAAGCTCAGCAGAATGAATAACTCCAGATCAGGTAGAGGGGGAGTGTAGGACACGTGTGCAACATTTGCGCCGGAGAAATGCCCAGGAATGGGAAACATTTCCAGAGGGGAGAAGCTACTTGTCTGGGTTGCTTCGCCGCAGAATTAATGCGAAAAAGGGACGTACCTATGTATCCATACGTCCACGCGGGGCGGCATATTTTCTGGTTCCCCTAGTTGTCCCCACGTGGGGGTGGAGGATGAGAGCCACTCCGCAAGAGTACCGCATTCCCTTCCCTTCGTGCAAATTGGAAAATGTGCGAAAAAAAGGGAAAAAAAAGGCAACGGAAAAAAACAGCAAAAAAAGAAAAAGTCATAGTGAAGCATAACAAAACAGCAGTGTAGGAATATATTGCCAATTTACGAAAAAAAAAAAAAAAAAAAAGACTTTCCCTATTCCTCCTTTTTTTTTATATTTTATCCTTTTTTTCCTATTTCCATTTGTTTCCATTTTTTATCCTTTTTTTCCTATTTCCACTTGTTTCCATTTTTTATCCTTTTTTTCCTGCTTCCCCTTTTTCTGTCTTTTCCCATTTTTCTCAAATCCTAAATGCTGCTACCCTTCCGTGTATGTTGCTAAAAAAAAAAATGAGAAGAGAAGTACATTTTTTCCTATTTGTCATTTATTCTGTTGAATGCTAGTTGCACGTAAATTTGTTTATCTGTTTGCCCTTTTTGTTGTCCTCAAGTCTAAATTGCGCACTCGAGGGCAACTGGTCACTGCTGTTTGATTGTCTATAGGGGATTCTACATAAGGAGACATACTCCTCTTTTCCCATCCTCCGTCCCATTTGTACTTTTTTTTTTTTTTTTTTGTACTTATTTTTTATACCCCCTGACTTGCACTTTCAATTGATGTTCCTGCGAGTAGATCACTATCCGTTGAGCGACTTTCCATTTTTCATTCCGAACATAAGTTGCAGCCTCATCAGAGAAGCACCCCCTTCACGTGGACAGTCAGAAAATTGGGAATTCTCCTTCATTGTGAGCTGGGCATTATATACACCAAGGGGAAGAAACGAAATTTGCCTGAACAGGTCAGAAAAAAAGTGAACCATCTAAGGGAAGGGTGAATATAAAAAAAGAAAAAAAAAAAAATTCACAAAAAGTAGCGCTTCGTTTTATTACCTATCCCTTAGTAGTGACCCACTGTACCTTTTGACCAAATGGACGAAATTGAAATCCTCAAAAGAAACCTAAACACGGAAAAGGTTTTCTACGACTTGAATTGGCACGAACTGGTTTTGGACAACTCGTTCGACCCGTCCGTTTATGAAAAATTGGAGCCCTTTAAAATTGGTGAACAGGGGAAGTTACCATATGCCGCACAGGATAATGAAAAAAATGGAGACGACGATAGCTACCTAGCAGCGGAGTACATTCATCAGGTGGAGAGAAATAAAATCTGTAGAGATGACGCGGGAAGTGCCCTACTACAGCGCCGAACCATGCATCAGAATAAGCAAGAGGACAAAGGGGGTAGGCCAGACAGGTCGACCAAATCAGGGGACAGCTCGGGACGCCCACGACGCAGACGCAAGAAAAGGGGCATCTCGAACGGGGCGAATCATCACCCGATTGAAGCAGAACCCATTCCAAGCACCCCCATCCATTTGTGCACACCGGACATTCCACGCCAAAAGAAGAGGCAGGAAGAAATAAAGAAATGCGACTTCATAGAGGAAATCAATTCCCCCCAGTCATCGAACCCAGTGAACTTTGTCCCCCCCGTGAACATCCTCTACGATGAAGAGAAGGTTGTATTTTATTTTTTCATTTCAGGAGACTTACAGAACTTTAACATCGCCTCAAGCAATAATTATGTTACAATATCTGGGAGGAAAATCCCCTACGATGTTCACCGATTTGCCAATTATTACTCCCACGAAATCAAGGGGGGCTATTTTGTGCGCAGCTATCTTTTCATGAAGCCGATTCAGCAGGAGAAGATTCGTTATGAGCACAGAGACGGGGTCGTCAAGGTGCTTGTCTTCCTTTCCAAGGGGGCGAAAGGGTGACCTAATGTGAGATTGTCGTGTGTATGCTGCATGTATGCCGCGTATCTGCCGCGTGTATTCCTCGTATATGCCGTGTGTATGGCGCATGTCACACCACCTTGTTGTTGCCCCTGCCCATTGTCTGCCCTTCTCGAACAAATCACACCGTCATGGCGCGCAAAACTGGTGCCCCTTTACCAACACAATACTCCTGTTTTGTCACAAAAAATGTCAACATGTTTTTTTTTCTCCTTAACCAATTGACTCCTCACTTTGGAGAAAATCACAAAAAAAAAAAAAAAATAAAAATAAAAAAGCTCATTGTGTGTGGCGTCGAACGAATGGTGCAACATAGGGTGGGGCAAAACTGCACGAGGTGGCATAAGGAGGAGACAAAAAGATCTGGATTGAGAAGGGGGCGGTCCCCAGGGGGGGATACACGAAAAAAGGAAAAACGGGAAAAATGAAAAAAATGGGACAAAAAAGACAAATCTCACACAAGCGTCGCTAAGAAGGGTAGAAATACAAATGGTGTCTAACAGCCACGTTGGTGTGTGATCGCGACACTGCTGTATAACTGCTGCTTCGGTCCGCCTCTTCCCCCTTGGGCGGTGGGGACAGGCTCCTAACTAATCGGACGAGACAAAATAAATGATGTTCAAATAATCCAAGTAGTCATCGTAGTTACTCTTCGCGTACTGCTTTAGGCAGTTCTTCATTTTGAGAAGGCTGCTCTCCAGAGGCTCTTCCATTTTTCTGTTGTTCAGGTCTACGTGGTAGTTCTTCGTTTTATTGTTAACCAACATAGTTACCTTTTTCCTCTGTGCGTAAATCTCCAGCACATTGGATTGCTCCTTCCGCAGGTTGTAGATGGATTCACGAAATATGTAGTTGCTGAAGAGGCTGCACATGGAGCTGACGTTGCTTCCAGGGTAGATGATGATCAGGGTGTACACGTCTCTGTGGAGGGGAGGGAAGTGGCGTATGAACAAGTTGGTGTGGTGAGGCGTGATAACATACATGGGCGAAGCAGGTTTAACGTAATGAACACACAGGGTGGGCCACGATGCTCACTTAAAGTGCGGGGTGAAATTCTCATGGGGGATGTTGAACTTGCTGAGGGAGTCGTACGTCAGAATCATGTTGCAGTTGTGGACGGAGAAGCGGTAGAGGTGCTCGTGCTCGCTGCTGAGGAACTGATTGTAGAAGTTGTACTCGGATTCTAGCTTCATCAGGAAGATATTGAAGAAGGAATCATGCGAATTGAATTTGTTCTGTTGTATAATTTTGTAAGCGTTGCTTTTCTTGAACTCGATGATATCTTTTCGGTTGTACATGATGCAATTATCTTCCACGAGGCGGCTGCCTACGTAGAGTACGTATATGCGCTCGTCAGGGGGGTCGACCTTCTCCCCTCCGAGGTTGGTGGCAGGTTTACCGCTCTCCAGGTTATCGCCAGATTTATCGCTTCCACCCGAAGGTGCGTTCCCATGAGGGCTTCCCCTCGAGGAGGTCTCATCGGGGATCCTCTGGTTGGTGAAGAAGTAGCCGTAGTTGTAGGCGTTGTAGAGCTTGATGGAGTGAGCGTCCAGGAAGTACTCGTAATTTACATGATACAGAATCCCATTGGAATGAACGAAGAATGAGATGTACATATTGAAGACATGTATTTCGATAAAGTCCACCTTGAGGTGCCCATAATTCTCCTTGATGTAATGAACCAGGTCGTACAATTTGAAGTACTCAATAAAAATCATCTTATTGTTATGGTAACTCGTGTCTACTCTGTTAATGACATAAATGATGACTCCCTTTTGGAAGGATTTGAGAAAAATGTTAAAAAAGTAGGAGAGCTCGTGAAAGGAATGTCTCTCCAGGATGTTAGACAAATCAATCATTACCGTTTTATGAGTAGAATTTTTTAAATAATTCTTTAACATTTCAATGTAGAATACGTCTGAGAAGTTATCGAGATATTTCTCATTCGATATGAATCCGAGTGTCTTATTGTATTGGTCATACTCTGAGGAGAGCAAATCATTTAATGTACTTAACTTTATTCGATAATATTCTTTCCCAATCTCGTAGATATGATTAATGTTCTGTTCATATATGTCACTTAAATTCATAGCCTTGGAGAAAATCCTCGAGACAATTTTGTGCAAATTGGTTGCATTGAGATTTATGTATCTAATATATTTGGTGATGCCTGTTAACTCCTTCACAGCATTTTGGAAAAATCCCTCAATGGTCTTTTTCAAAGTTTTATTGAATTCGTTTTTTTTCTTGTTAAGCTTTTCTTCCATAGAATCTTTAAAAACGTCATACTCACTTTTGAGTTGTTCCATCTCAGTGATGAAGCTCTCCGTTTTGTGGTCATTCAACTTGATTAGCCTCTCTTCTGTCTCCTTTGACAGCTTCAGCGCTTTGAGGAAATCCTTATACGTCTTCTCTAGATCCTCCACGTTGCTCTTAAACTCGTTGTAGAGGAAGGCAAGCGAATTCACGTGCTTCATTATGCGTCTTTTCTCCCGTTTGTAATGGAACGGGTTCAGCACTCGGCTTTTGAAGATGCCTAGGAGGGGAAGTGGCAAGGCGGGGGAAGTGGCAAGGGGGATGGGTTAACCCGTTTATACATCTGCAAAACGCGCCTCACCGGATAACTCGCCTCACTGGTTAATGTGGGAACGACGCGCAGGTGACCCTTGGGCGAACTCACCGCCAACCCATGGTGGCGTCATGCCCGTCATGTGATACTCCTCACTTACCATCATCAACGGAAACACGCTGGGGCAGGAAAACGACGCAAAAAAGGAGGAGAAAAACCGAAAGAAGGAGACTCATCTTGGGCTAACGCGGGGGGGAAGGAGCCTTCCACTGCTCAGAAGTGGAGGCGCGCGGGGAGGTCATTTTGCAGGGCTTGTTCGTTGTTTTTCCCTATTTGGGGCGCTCGCATGGGATGGGGGGCACGTCAGCGAGTCGCAGTGGGAGAAGGGCAGTGGGAGAAGCGCAGCTAAAGAGGGGCCTCTAAAAATGGGCAGCTAAAAGAGGGGTCTCTAAAAATACGACTTTTAATGGGGACGGCTCAAGGCCTACGTTGGTCGACAATTTTTTCTTCTCCGCTTCTCCATTCAGATACGTCACGCGAAATCGCCTTGTGCGTGTTGACCGGCACTACTTCTTTTGGCACCTCTCTTCTAGGCCCCTTTGTACTGTACCCTTTGTCGTGTGGGTAAACGGAGTGCGTCGCGAGAAATGCGTTCAATTGTGCGCCTGTAACAAATATGTTGAGTGGTTTTCCTTTCGAGCCGATCTCTACCCGCAGAAGCGCATCGCCGATCAGTAGAGTCGCCGTTTTGGTTTCTTACGGGCCCCTTGTTAACGCGCTTTGGTAAAGGGAGGGGAGGCAATTTTCTCGGGGCGGGCAGTTTTGCATGCTCGAGTAGTGAAGAGAAAAAGAATGAAAGGGGAAATCGATTCAGCGTCGTTCGCCAGGAGAGGTTCCTCATGAGAAGCACCTGACCAGTAGAAGCCTTTCTCTTGGCTCACAACGATTTTCACAAAAACATAGTAAATTGTTCTTATGCAGTTTCTTCCCTTCGCGGGCAGCCCAGCGTAGCACTGAGGCAGACTGTCTTTTCTGTTAGACTTGTCCAGCTCGATCGGATGACCGGCTGGTCGATTTATGCCGCTTATGGGCCCATCATCAAAGGGGAACAAAAAAAAAAAAAAAAAGAAAAAAACGGCGAAGAGGGAAAGGATTAGAAAAAGGCCGAGAGAGAGGCTTAGAAAAAGGCTGAGAGAAAGCCTTAAAAAACGGCCAAGAGAAAGGCATCTACAAAACGACCAAGACCCAAATGAATCGCGTAAGGGGACACGAACATGTCCACTTTCGTCCCCCCCTGCACAGCAGTATTAACGCCAGAACCTCCTGACCTCTTCACTCAGATTGTTCCACACGAAATCGTTCATTTGAAGTGCCCTCTCACCTGTCACATTGGTGAAGTCGTACAAGAGGTTCAGATTTTTTACAAGGGAAGGGCATACATTGCCGTGGTCGCTGGTGATAGTCTCTTCCATAGTGGTAATCGATTTGTTCACGTCATTGTTAAAAAAGTAAGTGACTGCGAGATTGTTTCGGTATATGGCGTAGTCGTTGTCCACCTCTCCTCTGTTCTGCTGGGCTGCTAAATCTGGAGGGATATCCATAATTTTTTGCAATGCAGATGGGTAATCCTCCAGGTAGAGATTAAAGAAAGCTGCATTTGTTAAGGTGTGTCCTCGCGCTGCGGCATGGTGGGAAGGTTCCTCCCCGGTTAGAAGCTCAACCAAATCGAAGGACTTCGACGCGGAATCAAGTGCCCCCATAAGCAAAGACAATTTTCCAATCAGAGATATGGTGATAATATGTTCTGCATCGTATCGCAATATTTTTTCCTTCAGGAGATGGATGGCTTGCTCGATGTAATTCTTCTTAAGCAAGAGGTCACAGAGGACGTAGCACGCGATTGCGATGTTGTGCAGGATGACTTTCTTCCGCTTCTGTGCCAGTGGGAAGATTTCCTCATCGTGTGGGTTCTCTTTATCGGGGAAGTTCGAAGAGGCGTCTTTCCGCCCCGTACTGCTCCCCAACGGAGCGGTGCACTGATGAAGCAATTTCTCATAGTGCAGTATCAAGAGGTAGAGCCGATCAAAGGACGTGAAGTACAAATTGAGAGTGTAGGGGTAGTAGCAGTTAATCAGTCTGAGGAGGAAAGAAATCATGGATCCACTTTTCTTCTTATATTTCCATGGGACGTGCTCAAAGTTGTAATCATCTTTATCTAAATTGCCAATCGAATTGAGGTCACTGGAAACGAGGCGGTAATTATTCAGTCTTAAATTACAATAAATCTTTATCGTCATCAAAGTTAGGTGTTCAAATGGGTGTTCCTTAAGAGCGGGTAATACGCCACTCAGATACTCTTCGCAAGTCTTTAGCTTCTTCTCACGAATGTATTTTAGGGACATGGTCAGATAGGTTTTTGTCTTTTTATTTACCTCCTCGTCAACGTTTATGTGGCCTATGTATGCCCCCTCTTCCAGGGGGTATAAATCGAATCTTTCTTCGCTCATGTTGCTCGCTTGAGAGGGGCACACTCCTCTATTGCAAGAACAGGGGGATACACGCCACGGTGGTTTATCAGTACATGTGGGCTGGACATACGTGTGTTTAGCTGGCGACCGTTTATCCTGCGTTTGTTCTAGTTTGGCATTCCCTCGAATCTTCTTCTCATCCTTACGGAGAATGTCTGTTAAATTTTGTCAATTAAAGTGACGACGCCCGTTTAGGTACTGCTCTGTAAGGGTTATCCTCCTTTGTCTGTGGTGTGCAAACAGATTGAATGTTTTTTTCCTCCGCTTTGTTAGGCGTTTTTCTTTTCTTTTTCTAACATTTTTGTATGTACCCCCCGATGAGCAGTACAGAATAGTGGGGGAAGGCGGAGGCGAGGAATACGATTAGGAGGAGCAGTCGTTATCACAGGGTGAAGAACAGAACGTAGCAACTTATTACTTTTTTTTTTCTTCTTCTTCTTTTTTGTTGCCTCATTTATGAGTGAGGAATTGCTTCGAACCATCATGAATGACTCTTCCCATTTTCGTTGGCAATTATGATTTTTTTTTCTGCCACATTTGAGAGGAATACAAACCACTACATTCGCGCTGTTAGCGGAGGATTTTTTTTTTTTTGCCGCTCAGCATAATTGCGTATTAACCATGAAGAGGGGATGGACGATAAAAAGAAAAGAAAAATCCTACCCGCTTCCGAATATGCACATGCGCAAGATGTCGAAGGGTTCACTTAAAGATCGACCTCTTTTTTTTTTCCCGCATAGGGTCGAAAGTAGAAAGGGAAGCCTCCGCGGAGATGTGTCGGCGGAGGGGAGAAACAAAGGGAGGAGTTCCTCCCCACACAGATTTGAAGACAGGAAAGGCGCATCTGATGGGACGACCATGACAGAGGGGAAGTCCCCATAATAGGGTAAACACAACGGCGACGGGATGTGAAAAGAGGAAAAAAAAAAAAAAGATTTAGAGTATGAAAGCCTCCTTGTTTCCACTGCCTTGGCTGTAATGTGATCCACTTGGAAATTGTTTTATTTTGTTCGGTTGGGTTTGGCAGGGCCCCATTTGGCCGGATTCCGTTCCCACATTTGAAACGCGTATGGCGTGGCGTGGGAAGTTGCTCCACATGGGCAGCTGGAAGGGGTCCGGATTGCCCTCGCCCTCGAGCCCCCGTTTGTTGTCTTCCCTTTCCGCGCCCAAGTTAGCAGCGCGCGAAGTTGCGATCGTGCAGATGTTTTCTGCGCGGCTTCGCCGTTTGTCCTTATTGTTGCTAGCGCTGTCGCCAAGTTTTCTTTTTTCGCCTGGTCTTTCTTGTTTTTCCGTCCATTCGTTCATTTTTGTTACTTTCTTTTTTCGTTCGTTTGTTCCTTCTTTTTTTTTTTTTTTTTTTTTCGTTTTTCCCTATTTGGACCTTCCTCAACCGTATACCTGTGCTCGCTCGCCTGTGTCTATACGTGGAGAGGTTTCTTTTGTGTCCACGCGGGACACCATTTCCGCAGGCAGAATTTACCTGAGTGTGTGGCTTTTTTTTTTTTTTTTTTCCTTTTAACCGGTTGGCTAACTGCTCATAGGGAGAAGAAAAAACAGAAAAAAAAAACGAAAAAAAAGCAGAAAAAAAAACAAAATAAAATAAAACCAAACCAAAACAAATAAGCATATACATACAAACATACATGCGTAGTCATATTCTATACGACGACAACACAAAGCGGTTTCACCAGTTTGTTCTTCCTCACCGCCTCCATCCACCCCATCACCATGCTGTTCAACAAGCTCTTTAAAAAGAAAACGGAGCTGGAGGTGGACGTCTACTTGATAAGAGACGAGCAGTGCACTCCTCATATGCTTGACTGCAAATTGTACGTTAACAAGAGGGGGAAGGGAAGGGGGAGTGATGACGAGGTGGTCATATGGAACAGCTCGAAGAAGCTTACTCTCAATGAAGACTCGATCCATGACTTCAAGTACCATGAGCTCGACATGTGCCAATTTAAATACATAAAAAATGGACTAGTGGAGGAATATGGATTGGTGTTTTCGAAGGTGGAAAACATGTATTATTTTTTTAAGTATATTATGCTGTCCTATTTGAAGGGGAATATCGTTTTGTGTAGAAGGGTCAATCTGTTTACGTATGAGGAGCCGGTGAAGGTACCCTACAAGAAGGATCATCTGGGCCTGTTAACATTTAACACGGCCAAGTGTGAACACCTGTTGGTTGTTCTCGCCCCAGAGAGGTCCCCTCTTGCAGAAGGGGAGCGTAGCCGGTTGGATGTGGCATGCCAGCACCTGTATGAAGAACTCACCATGGAAAATGTGAGGGAGCTGTATAAACGTAATCGGGTCTTCCTCATTTATGTGTTGAATTCATTTAACGACCTTTATCTGAGCAGGGAATCCATCGGGATCCACGTCCACAGGTACTTGGTGAACAGCCTGTTCAGGTTCTTCGAGTACAAGGCACTGTACGAGGGCGGGGATCGCTACGAGGAGTACTTCGCAGAGGGGTACTTCCCAGAGGAGGGATCGCTCAAGAGGGAAGAACGAAACGTGGTGATACTAGGAGATCCATCCCCAGGGACCGTTGAAGCCGCGGCCCAGGCAGACTCCTACCACGGCATGGAGGCAATCCAAATTGTGGACGACGAATTGGGGTCCTTGGATAGGGCGGTGGAGGACGAAATTGAGATGGAGAGGAAGGGAGAAAAGAGGAGTGAAAAAATGGGGAAGCAGAAGCGGGGGAAGCGCGCGAAGGGGATGAAACCCTCGGAGGGGAAGAGACAAACGGAGGGGCAGACGCACACAGAGGGGCAGACACCCACAGATGGACAAACAGACGAAGGACCCGAGAACGAACTTACCGCGCAGCTGCACCGGATGAGCGAAAAATTTCTCCTCATTCTGGAGTCGGAGGACGTCTTCATTGACCACATCAGGGGGATACTCATCTACAGGCAGGACTTCCAAAATGATATCGTCAGCATCAAGAGGAACTTCGTAGAGACGCACGCGCGGGGGGCGGCGACAATGGAAGTGGCTACAGGAGCGACTACAGGAGCGGCTACCGAAGTGGCTACCGAAGCGGTGGCGGCCCCGACTGACGCAGAGTTCCGCACGGGGGAGTCCAGCCCCAAGGGTGGGTTCGTCCTTCTCTCCGAGTCGGACGCAGCGGGGAAGTCTAACGCGGATGAGAAATCTAACGCGAGTGACACGTCTGACTTGTCCGACGTGACCAAGTTGGATGGAGGGTACCCAAGACACAGGACGAGCGACACAGATGGTATGAAATACAAATTTGTGAATACCAGCGGAAAGCTCTCCTTCGTGTTGAGGCAGAATCACATCCCACAGAGAAGGAAGCGAAAGGTGAAGCTAAACAGGAAAGGTTATTCCTCAGAAAGAGAAATAAACTACGACGACGTACGCAACGATTTGAATATCTACACCTTTGACGAGTATGGAAAGGAGAAAAAAATCTACAACTCAGGTGAAGAAATCTTCCGATTTAAGAATGAACAGTGTGTTCCGAAAAGCATTCACCTAAATGATGAGCAAGGGAATAAGATACTCTTCCTTAACGAGAAGAATGACAAACACTTATTCATTTTTGATACAAATAAAGAGAAGATTGTAAAAAAGTGGGACACAGAAATTGTCCCAATAAGTGAGCTGATCAAGAGGGAAGAAAACGTGTACTGTGGGTACAACAAAAAAAGTCTCTACTTTGTCGATACGAGGGTTAAATCCTGTGTACAGAATGCACTGCTTTATGGGAGAAGCACACCCGACATTGAGCAAGCCACGGTGGACAACAAGGGCAGAATTATCTTAACCAATGCTAAAGGCGAGATTAAATATTATGATGGAAAAATAAATAAAGATAATGTCCTTAAGAAGAGCAAAAATGTGCTTCTCTGTGCGAATGACATTGTTCATTTGTGTACAACGTCCGATGGAGTTTATTCCATTGTGACTTGCCAGAAAAGTGTCGTCATATGCGAGAATTCCATTCGAAGTTGTAGCCTTTTTGATCGAGTCATAAAAAGGGAGGAGCGTCTGGAACAGAACAAGTTTCTACTCCAAATTCACTATGTTGATGTTTTTACATACAATCTGGGGGATTACAAATTTGAGAAGAGCACCGTGAGTAGTGATAACTCTCTCGTGTTCACTTTGTCTGCCAAGTTTTACGTCGTTTGGAATCTTAGGGATGTCCTGAATGGGAGCATTTCCTATGTCATTAAGAAGGCCGCGGAGGAGATTTCTGATATATCCTACTTTAACTTTAGCGATGTGCAGGGGGTCCTCGTCGCCACAGAGAACTCGCTCAAGTCGAAGAAGATCACCAGCGTGGGGAAACTCCAAATGGGTTAGCCGTCCAGAAGAGGGGAAGGAAAAGAAAAAAAAAAAAATTCCCCTCCCGCCCCAAAAGCACATACTTTATGGGGAGGTCATAATTTACGATTCGCTCGAAGGGGCAATTTTTCCATCCCTTGGGTGAGGCGGGGAAGGAAAAACCTTGGCTCCTTTCCTTCTTTTCTCCTTCCTAGTACCCCCCTTTTTTCGGTGTGTTAAAAGAGGGAAAGCTAACCCATTTACACAACTCGCGGGTGTATATAATATATACTTCGTCCAAATGGGCACAAGCAAATGAAGTGTTTTTTTTTTTTTTTCTTTTTTTTTCCTTTCCGTGAAATTGCCAAATGGTGAATTTGACCCTTCAGCGGTAGGGCATTCAACCGACTTGAACGTTTTGCATAATTTCGTCAGCGTATGGGATGGGATGTGCATGAAGGCATATTCTTTTCTTTCCCTGGGGGGGACCAGTGGAGGTGCACCTTTTGTAGGCACATCAGAGGAAACAGCTCGAGTGTACACGTTCTGTAGTATAGCATGTGGGGGTGCGTCCGCCTAACATACGCGCCAATGCAACATACACGCCAATGCAACATATATGCCAATGCAACATGCACGCCAATACAAAATACACGCCAATGCAAAATACACGCCAGCGCAACAAACAGGGAAACGCAAAGTACTACACTTGAGCCTGCGTCGTGTGAGTGCATACCGCTACACGCGCATAACGCACATGCATTGACTGTGCGTTTGCCATTCACTATCTCCTTTACCTTTTCACTCGAGCGCAATTTTCTACGTTGACGCCTCCCCCATTTTGCATGGAAGAGGAAAATAAAGCCCTCTCCAACAGCTTCCCTTGGCGATGATTTCCGGTCGCATTCGCTTGGGCATCCCTTTGCGCATCACTCATCACTACGTTATATTTGCCCTTTTTTGCCATTTTATTTTGCCTTTTTTTTGCATGTTTTTCTTGCGCGGATGGATGTATTTTCCTCTTCTTCCTTTTACCCCCCATATTCCTCTGCATCCTTTTTTTTTTCTTCTTCACGTTTTCTCTTCGTCACCCTTTTTGCCCGTTTTTTCTCCGCCTCCCCCCCCCATTTTCCTTCTTCCTGCCATCCTTCCTTTTTTTCTCTTCCCCCTTTCATATATTTCCACATTGTAACCACTTGAGAAATTTATTTTTCCCCTCACTTGGTTCTTGCCTCAATTCGCCATAAATCTTTTTTCCTTTTTCCCCCCTTTCACTGTTTTCCTTTACGTTTGACCCTTACCTTCGAGATATATATCCCCAGAAAGGGTGAAAAAAGAACTCCATGTGAATGCCACGCGCGCTTGATTTTTGTGGAAGGTCTCCTCCACCCAGTGTAGCTCTTTCCCGGCGTCGTTCGCTCGAGAGGGGACAGCAAGTGGTGGTGCGGTTAGGGGCTTGACAAGAGGCATGTTAGCCACGCAGTTAGCAACGCAGTTAGAGGCGTAGCGACAGGCGCAGTTACGGTCTCACTCACCACCGCTTTTACCGCCGCTTTTACCGCCGCTTTTATCGCCCCTTTTACCGCCCCTTTTACTGCCCCTTTTACTGCCTTCCTTCACCGTCGCGGTTCCGGCTGAGAGACGGCGCGAGACGAGATCCATCCCAGTGACGCGATCGGAGGCGCACACACGTCGTTTGTGGTCGCCCCGACGGGCCATTCCACGTAGCGCCATTTTGTAGATCCCTCCAGGATAAGAGGATAAGAGGTCGTCTTTACCCCCGTCTATTGGCCAACAGGAAAGAAAAATAAATAAAATAAGATACCATAGAATAGAGTAAAATAAAAAAACAACCAAATTGACAGCATCCCCAAATCAAAGACACATACAAAATGAGCGAAGCAATAATGAATGCAACAATCGATGGAGTGCCCAACTCCAGACTACACATACAGAACATCCCTCCTCACCTCACGGAGGCCCACCTGAGAAACTTATTTGGAAACGCAGGTTATACCATAACAGACGTGTGCTATTTTAATAAAAACAGAAAACAGTCAAACAATAATCTCGTGAACAAGAAGATCTACAACACTGCGCTGATTACATTTAACTCACATGATGAAGCTTTAAGTGTCTTGAGGAATATTAAGAGCATGATTGATACGAGCAATCAGGAGAAGAGCATTGAGGCGAAGTTTGCCGTGCCCAATGTGAATAACAATTCGGGTGCAAGGAGTACTAGTAGCGGTCATGGCGCTGGGAGGAGCGTCGCAGGTAGTGGAGCCGGCCCACGAGGTCCCCTTGGCAACATGGGACCATCAGGCGGAACTAACAGTGGCAACAACAGCGGCAACAACAACGCCAACAACAACGGCAATAACAACGGCAATAACTTCCAAAGGAGCTTTAACAACAACGACGATTTTAGCAGCGGCGGAATGAATAACTACAATCATTTTAGCAGCGCGGGAAATGTGCAGGGGAATTTGGCCACTAGGAACATGATGAAGGGGAAGAACCCAAACAATGGAATGATTCCGATGACGATGAATGGTGTGAACAATACGAGTGGCATGAACGGAGCGCTCAGCCCAAACAATCTCCATATGAATGGAGGCATGTTCAATCAGAAAAATAATTTTATGCTGAATAATCCGAATATGGGCAATGGGAAAGGCATGTCCGAAATGGGGAAAGCCGATGGGGAGTTTTCCCCCGGAGGAAACTCCAGCATGGGGAACATGCCCGGTGTGGGTGCCGCGGTTGGCGGTGTGAACGCCATCAACGGTCTGCATGGCGAGGGCGGCGGAAGCGGAAGTGGAAGCGGAAACCACTGTAACGCCCAGGGAGGAAATAGACCCGCCATGTTCAGGCAAATGCAGATCCAAAGCAACAACAACACAAACGTCTTCCAATCGAGCGATCTCGTAATGGAGGAATGTAACGAAAATGTTGAAGGCCTAAGTCTGTGGGAGATTTATAAAGATAAAAATAACAACACCTTTTATTTTAATAACCTCACGAAACATAGTCAATGGAACAAACCCATACATCCGAATAAGTTATTCCATTTTAATAATAATGACAAGACAAAGATGAATGGTCCCAGTGGAAGCAATTTGTTCATTTTTCACATACCTAGTGAATGGAGCGATTTGGATTTATTTCAGCACTTCTGTTGCTTTGGAAATATAATATCGTCCAAAATTCAGAGAGACAACACGGGGAGGAACTCCGGCTTCGGCTTCGTCAGCTACGACAACATCCTCAGTGCGCAGCACGCCATTCAGTTTATGAATGGGTACTTCGTCAATAATAAGTATTTGAAGGTGCAGCTGAAGAAGGGCGAGGGCCCGGAGAAAGCATAGGCGATGCGCCGATGAGAAACTAAGAGTGTGATGGTGAGAAGTAGACCGTGAGAAGTGGACTGTGAGAAGCCTGTTGGGGGAATAGGAATAGACGGAGAGGGAAAGCTTCCTATAGAAGAGACCTCCCAACCGAGGGGAAGCTTCCTACCGAGGGCACCTTCCTACCGAGGGCACCTTCCTACCGAGGGAAAGCAGGAAGACCCCCCACACACGTGCACACCACGTGAATATGATGCGCGCGCACCGTCGCCGCTACTATTTGTTTGTCTTTATCCATTCCCATGTGTGTTTGCATTTAACTTTTTCCCACTTTCCTGTTGTGCACCCGTGTTTGGCGCAACCGGACACATTGTCACCTGCAGAGGGAACATCTTTTTTTATTTTTTTGCATGTAAAGTGAGACCACGAAAGGGGGCAGAATAAGAATGCAATTAGTTTATCTTGTCAGGGGGGGAGCCTTCCTCCACCCCGTTCCTTTACCCCTACTTCCACCGCCAATGCAAACTTCGAAGAATCGCTGCACTCACCTGTGTACTGTACATGCACAAGAAGAGACAGAAAAAAAAAAAAAAAAAAGGAACCAAGTGGGTCACCAATGGAAGCATACACAAATGCACAATTAGCGAAATTATCGCACAGCTATATTTTAAAAAATCGTTAAAATGTTTTATTTTTTTTAAGTCAAAAAGGAGAAAAATAGGAAGTAGAAGAGGAAGTGGAAGAGGAGGAAGAAGCCCTTCGTGTGCATCCAATTGACCTTCACATTGTGCGTGACATTTGTATATGTATATAGATATATTTATATATATACATATATATATGTTTATTTTATGTTTATTTTTTTTTTATTTCACCACCTATGTCCCCTTTGCAATCCCTTTACAGCTAATTCGATTTCATCGTCCCCTCCTGTCTCTGCATAAGCAGGCGTGTGTACCCGTGGGCGCACTTCATTGGGGCGAATTTGTGCCCCGAACGTGTGCGCCACGGGGTTATAACAACCGCTCCAGTGGAAAAACTCGATAACGTACCTTCCTCCTGTTATATATTTAACCCTTTTATCATGTCAAAGGGATCTTCCCGTTAGCTCCTTCCCCCCTCAGGTGCGATGTCCGCCAGGCGCATTCCCATTCGTGGGAGAGAAACGTACGAGCGGTAAGAATTCCAAACGGGGAAAAGGTCCCTCTTCTGCGATTGCCCAGCGAGGAGGGCTTCTACCGCTGGGGCCTATCAGCTTGGCCCACGTAGGTCCCCACGAGTAGCGTTTTCCCCCGTGTGCATTTCACCCGAATGTTCACACGTTCCACGTGCAAGGGAGAATTTGAAAAAAAAAAGAAAAAAAATCCCGCACAAGTGAATAATCCCCTCTAGCATTTATTTACCTTGGCGAAGTTGACTGATTCGCTGGTTGGCTGGCTAACTTCTTTACTGCTTTTCTGGTTAACCCTTTAACCATCAATTGGCGCCCCTTTAACGCAGCAACGGTGTAACTGTGCTGCTCACGGGGGACAACTTCTCCTTTTCTGTATGCCAACCGTGCATGCGTAAAATGGAGGACACCCAGAAGTACGCTCCGCATTGGTGCATTTCCGGGGGTGAGAGAAGCTAACTTAGGAAACACCTTTCCTGGGAACCTTTAGAAAGTTTTAAAATATGAGCGTGTGTATAAGTATCCGTTAAGAAGAGAGACCCCTTGGAGGCAGGGGCGACGCAGTTCCCTTTGGAATACACATACAGCAACGCCCCTTGCTGCATCCACGTGAGAGGAATTTTTCAAATGAAAAACGAAAACAAAGTGCACGAAATTAATAAAAATATCATGTGGCCAAAAGTCAGGCGGACCAAAATGGAGATAATCAAATCGGCATGAAGGTCTAGCGTGCCATTGTGGGAGGGGAGTAGACATCACAGGTGTGTAATTACCCATGCTGGAAAAAAAAAAAAAAATCTTTTCACTGCTTCTCATGCTGAGTAATAAACAAGGGCACGCATGTAAATATATTTAATGAAGAGGGGCCAATGCATTCTCTAAGGGGTTGTATGAGTGTGCCAGATTAACGGAATGGATTGCAACAGGTAAGCACGACAAACAGGTTTCGCACAGGATGGTCCATAAGGGATATGAGAAAAAAAAAAAAAAAAAAAAATGTTGGCATAATTGGGTGCGAAATTTTTGCATAATTGGGTGCGAAATTTTTGCATAATTGGGTGCGAAATTTTGGCATAACTGGGTGCGAAATGTTGGCATCCCGCATCCGCTTCACCCCGTCATGCCTCCTTTTTGGGTGGGCCAGCTGCGCGGCTAACCGAGGGATCATCCCGTGCGTGCAGTGCGCTCCCCTGATTAATTCGGCCCTATTTTGCTACCCTGAGGGAGGGGGGGGAGGGGCTCACTCCGGTGTGGCTCTTCCTTTTCCATTTGATCTTTTTAGACATGCCCCTTTTGGTTCACTTCCTTATCATCCTCCCTGTGCCGATTGGTGTACCCCCCGGGGGGGCTGCTCTCCGCCTGTCTTTGATTAGGGGAGGATTCCTCCCCCTTGTTCCCACTGCTTCGATCGATTCCACTGCTCCCACCTATGCCTTCACCGTTTGGGGGCTTCGTGGTGGCTCCACCATCCTGCGCGTCACTCGCTACGATGCCGCTTCTCTCCTTCACGTTGTCTTCCTTCTTCTCGATAAAATCGTACACAATCATCTTCGGTTCATTCCTGTTTGGGGGTTTATTCTTCTCGTTCTCTGGTTCCGCCGTGCCAACTGCTAATGCACTTGTGGGAGTCGGCGGGTCGTTGAATTCCTTCGCGTTACCCATAAAATCGTGAAGAGGTGGGCCAACGGGTTGCGTATGCTGACGATTCAAGCTATTCACATACCTCCTATACTTAACTCCAGAGACAAAAACGAATGTTAAAAATATGAGAACAAAAATGATGTATAGTCGGTACTTGTTTAAGAGTTGTTTTTTCTTTATCAGATGGATGAGATTTTTTGCTTGATCTAATTTGTCTGTAAGGAAAGGCATGTTGGAGAGTCCCTTCCTTATGGAGTCTCTCTGTTTGTTGAGATTTTGCAGAACGTCATTACTGATATACTCTGCGTTTGTTAGGAGAATTTTGGACTGGTTAATGTAAATGTCTCCTTGTTCCAGAAGATCTACATCGCTCAGTAGTAGCATTCGATCATCATAGTGGTTATTCATTTCGTTTTTTTCTCTTTCTTTGGAGAGGAAGTTTTCCTTAAGTAGGTTCAACTTTCCTTTATACTCCGTTATCTCTCTGTGAAGGTCGTTGAGGTCACTGTCCTTGTTCCCTATGAGTGAATTTGCTTCCGCTTCCAGCTGCATTCTCTTAAACATGTTTTCTGCGCTCTTGATGGCCTTTTCATAGATGTGTAGCAATTTGTGCTTGTCTGAGTTATTGTCGTGGAGGATCTTCTCCGTGTAGGAAACGGTCCTGATGTATTCCTGGCAGTTGTTCTTGTAGTCGTTGTACAGCGCGTCCGCCATGGTTGCTAAGAGGGGGAGAGGGGCGCGCTGGCGGGGAGGAGCAACGTGCAGAGCGACTTGAGCCACTTCTTGAGTGACTTATTGAGCGACTTCTTTAGCGCCGCTTCCCAAATGGGAATCCCTTCGATGTGCCGCTATCCAACTGCGAACTTAAGTACGTGCTACACTTTCCGGCGTACACATGCGGATTTTTCCCTGTGGGTTTTCTCCTCCCTAATCAGTCGCATGCACACGTTGGCTCGCACCAGTTTTCCTATGCGAAGGGCCAAATGGTTTTACCCTTCCCTTACTCGAATGCGAGCTCGCGTGTGTTGGCACTCGGCTACCGCTCCTAAGTAGAGAGAGGATGGCCTGCTAAATATACAGTGGCAATGGGAGTCATTTTTTCTTTTTTTTCCCGCTCTTTTGAGTCATCTCCCAGTTTATTCATTTTTTTTTTTCTTCTTCTTCTTTTTGGAAATTTTGTAAAGAAGTGAATTCATCCTAAGTACCCGATCGGTGCTGATACTGCGCGACGTGAAAATGGCATTCTGAGGAGGAACGTGAAAGAGAGCGGGTGGCGGAAAAA